GTCCAATAAATGGTAATATATACATAAATGCTTCTTACACATAAATCAAATTCAGCTGACACAATTATAGCAAACATTATATAGAGAGGAGGAGAGATGTCATGTCACCATAGAAATTGCAAAAGGAGCTCTTTGCTCAATAAATGGTGATATATACATTAATGCTTCTTAAAAACTAAAAAAATTATTTTGATATGATGGGATATGTCCAAGCACACAAGAGAAACAAACAAACCAATTCAGCAGACACCAATAGCAAACATTATATGGAGAAATGTCACCCATAGATTTTTGAAAAGCAATAAATGGTGACATATACATTAATGCTTCTTAAACACACTGATGCACACTCTCAATCACAGGCACACGATCTCACTGATTTGAAACACACTCACTGACTTGGCAAAGGCTCAGGAGAGACGAAACGTTTCAAATAAAGACTGCCTACTTAACCACCAGGTGTGCCCAGACCTTCTCATTCTCCTTTCCTCCATAATCCCTGACACACACTCTCAATGATTGATACAGAATCTCACTGACAGACAAACTCACTCACACATTTACACATTCTTTTGTACACACAAATCAATTTTCTTTCTTTTCTTTACATTTTATTTACATTTTTTAGGCCAGTCCGGGTCTCCCTAACTTTAGAAGAGCTGGTGTTGGTTCTCTCCCTGGCCTCCAGTGGGTAATTTAACTTACATTTCCTCTCTGCTCCTCTCTGCCCTCTGTAGTGATGACGGTGCCAGAGCATCATATTCCGGCTCCCGGTATCACTAGAGAGGGCGCGTAAGCAGAGAAGAACTGGAAACGTCATCAGAGCTCACTTGACGCCCCTGCCGGCTGCCTCCTCTCTTCCTGCCGCTTCATGAATGCCCTAAGGTGGTCAGCCAGCCAACCCCTGGGCCCCCTGTGACAGCATAGCACTCAATGTAATTTACATTGTCTATATAATCTTTTAGGATCACAAACAACTTAGAACCTTTGTAATCAATAAATCTTTTTATAGGGATACATATTTATGAATAAGACAAATATAACTAAGTTTATATGTATGTTTATAGTGTACCTGCAGTTCTCAAATGTGCAGATGATGAAATCATACCTTTAGTTAATTTTAGTTTAGTAATTTGTACGCCATTAAGAATATCTTGCCGACAATTGCCTGCTGCTGCACCATACATGCATGAAGACCTACGCAGCTAGCAATCGGAAAGAGGGAAGTTAGGAGCTCCCCAAATTCTTATGTTACACTCCTGGACATAAAGACTTTTATTTTTTGTTTTGTTAACTAAAGATAAAATGTATATTTTTCATAAATATTTGATAATGTTTAAACTATTTATTTAATTTGGAATTGTAGGTATCAGGGTACTTTTACCCTGCTATGTAAGAACGCCTCACATGTTCACAATTTGAATTAATTTTCCATTTCCTAATTTGCTTCCATGGAGTGGCTGTGTGTTAGTTACATAGCCAGAACTGAATGTTCAGATAGATTGTAACGTACTTTTACTTCTAGAAAGCCCCTCTTATATTGTACTTGCCTAGTCATTCTGGACAAACGTTTAGTGATTTCCAGACTAAAATGTTTCATTGTTCAATTTTCTTTTGTTCTGTTTCTTCTATCAGTCCTTTTATTCTTCTAATTTGTTGGGAATCCTGTAGCAGTAGCCGTGTGATCTGTTGATTAAGGATGGTTGTAGATGGCTTTCTGATCGAGTTTTGTATATTTTGTTTTTAAATTTTTGCATCCAGTTCTTATTGTTTGCAGAGGAAAACAGGAATAATTTGCATGCAGATGCTCTCAGAATATCACTGCTGTCCATTGAGAGTTACAGTATGTATTCGAGCTCTCAATGGGTGGCCAATGATGGCCAACCACCATGTCCCAAGTAGGAAAATAGAGAAAGACGTGCAGCCGCCACGGCAAGGACCACAAGAGGCATGGCAAACAGGTGTCGGGGACCCAACTTCAACATTAAGCCATTTTAAAAACGGTTTACCCACTGACTATATGTAAGATGGTGCCCTGGGACTCCCTACCGCAAAACAACTTCATTGATGTTGTTTCGAGGGAGAAGAATTTCTTTAAATGTATTTTCCTGATTAATAACCATGGCGGTATTACATACCTATCATTTGTCTTTGGGATTTGCAGACTGGTTGGTAGAAAGTGCCCAGTACATTTACACTAATTTCACAGGCATTTCAGTTGAGAGGCACTACCCATTAGTTAATTCTGCCATGGTTACTAATCAGCTGTAATTAGGAAGCACATTTTTATTTTGACGTCTACTGTAACTTTTTTTTTTTATCATCCTGTATCCCCTGTACTGGAGAAGGGCATACAATCCACATCAGTCCATGCTCATTCATTGCCTTGGAAACATGTGCCTCTGAAGTGTATGTGAAAACAAAAATTAAAGAAGCATTATCTACTTAACGTTCAATCACTTGTTCGGTATATTTGGTTTCTGGATCTGATCTACAATGCACAGGCAATGTGTTTGTTTAATTATTAACCTTTTGCATATACACATCTGCAAATTAAACTGAATATAACCATAAAGTATTAGTGATACACTAAACACCCAGTCAAGAGGTAGAATTTGCAATGAGAATGTCCCTCACAGACACTTATAACGATGATTAGAAAAGTTACCAGTTAATGTGCACAGTTCAGAAACCTCTTCACTGCCAAGCGTATACATTTCTGTTCTAATGGTTCAAGACAAGCTATAGCTCTCTACAATATGGCAGTTTGTTTCCAGAATCACACAGATGTTAACATTCCACTCATTTGTTAAATAAACAGACATATGTAGGTGCATTTTCTAAATCTTTTCTGTATCTATGCAAGGAATGCAGGTTTCAGAAAGTAAACCGACAGAGTAATATGAACCTGGTCTGTACAAAATATTCTGCAAATTCCAGGTAAATTCTGTATAAGCAGCAAAGAAGTTTAAAAAGAGTCAGGATCGCATTCAGGGTCAGAGCTAAACTCATTTCAGGCTCATGTACAAATCAATATTTATTTACAGCTTTTAAAGTACATTTGCAGGTTATTCACAAGGGTTTTACATTGCGGGGGACTTTACAATGCAGCATTGTGGGCGACAAGATACATCTGTATACGGCACCAGAGTAAAGGGAGCTTGAGGTTACTGCCGGAAATCTGAACAGATCTGAGGGGTGTCAGGTTAGGCACTCTGTCACGCGTGGCTTAAATGCTTTTGTTCACAGTTTATTAAGCACAATTTCTTAAAATGAACAAGCTTTTACTGTAAACTCTTGCTTCTAAGAGAGAAATTCTAAGTTGTGGTGCATTATTCCACACATTACAAATCTTCTATAAGGAACTGGAATAGAAAAAAATAATAAATTAAAAAAGGCTACAGGTTATATTTTCTGGGTGCCAGACATATAAGGTTGCCAGATCTACCATGTCTCTTTCTGGACACACACCAAATCTTCAAACTTATGAGCAATACATGAAAAGCGGTACACTTTGTGGCATTCAAAAGCTGCAGGACGGAAACCTACTAATTAACCAAAGTAATTTCTTTACGATTTCTCCATGTTTATTTTACCAATGGTCATATGCCTGTGGCATTTACAAAAGCTACATAATGCAGGACAGCACTTTTCATGTGTAACACATAAGTATGAAGAAGAGATTTCTGTCCATTAAGACATTGTGGACTTGGCAGCACTACAGACAGAACTATAAATACACCAATTACTAGTGTTTCTGACTTCCGTCTGATGGTTGAGAGCCTAACGCCACCTAATTACATTTTATTGCATAGCAGAACTTAATACGGTAGAACAAGTTAACCAGGCTGCATGGCTCTGCTCCAACATGTCTCAGGCAGAGCTTCAAATTACAAGGTGAAGTATTCATGGTACAACAGGCCATAAACCAACAGATTTCTTACTGACCCTCCTGTCAAACAGAGATATCAGAGATTGGTACATGTCAGTGATAAAACAGCTAAACATATTTATCAGAAAAAAAGGCTAAGATTTGTCAAACTCAAAATCTGGTTTAAAAAAAAAAAAAAAAAGGTTTTCTATGGTCTCTGAATATTGAACATGAAATGGAAGTATGTTGGATATCGTATTCATGAAATCCACAGAGACCAACAAATTATAAATCTGTAATGAAATGTTCAAGGTTAAGTGCTACACTTGAAATGTGCTAGATTAGAATGGATGTCTGTCCTGTAAATGAGATGTGTTCAATTATTTGCACTGCCAGATTTTAGACTCATGAGGCCCTTATTTCCATAGACGGTATTAATGCTAAAGATGTTATTATTCCCAATCGATCTTTTATGGACGCTTTAAAAAAAAAACAAAAAACGGATACAAACATTATGAGATAACGTTTCTCCCCGCAGGCTCTTATGACAAAGCTCTTATTCAGGGAGATTTCTGATCGCCCATAAATTGCATTATACACCCAACTTTTCAAGTATTGTAAGAAGTTAAGGACACTTTATGAGGCAGCTGCACGCACCCGACCTCAAATGTTCATGCTAAGTTATAATGTTTATCAATACCACGCAGCCTCCTGCAGTCTCTGTACTGCAGCAATGGGAACTGCTCTGGTAAGACCAGCAGGTAAGATGATCTCAAGGTGATTAGTGGACTCCTCTGCATTGGGGTTATTAGAACCTTAAAAGAATGAAAGAGTCAGAAAACTATTTAAAAATTAAGTCCACACATCGATGAAGGGGATTTTCCTTGCATTTTAGACCAGTAGTGTAGAACATCTCATTTGCAAGGAGGGAAACTAGCACTCTTCTGTTACTTCTTCTGCACAAGACCCTTTGTCGAGCTCTACTTTGTAGTCCAACACTTGTTCCTTACAGGAACAGCACAATCATTGATTCTTCTCCTTATTGGGTCAACCCCAATATCTAAAGTCCACATGACTGGAAGCTAGTGACCAGTGAGATTTTTCCCTCATGGTAGTGTATGGTGGTAGATCACACTAGAAGTGTGACATTCTTCTTCTCTTGGATGCGCTGCAGGACTTGCACAGTGTCTCGGATTAAAGCATCGAATATTCCATCAGCCAACTGCATCTTTACAAATAATTCATCTTCATCATAATTCACCCACTGCGCTTCTTCCTCATGCAGTTCCTGTACCTGTCAGACGAGAGTTTACTTTGTCAGTAAAAGCTTAAGTCACATAAGTGCTACTGCTACATTGTCAGGAAAGCTTTATTTCCCAAACAAAAACAAAAAACACTATACATATCTACATTGTAAAAAACAAAAAACCACAACTATGCTGCTCTTTTGACAAGAGTAATAGATTGGCATATGTCATCAGCTGAAATGCTATAGGTATCCACTTTACAAATTTGCTCCACAGACCCCTTGGGGATACGTCCCTGGATTGAGCGGAGTAACCACACGGAGGCATGTCGCTCACATATTACCATATGTCCCACAAAGTGTTTGACAAATTGGTTAAAAACAGCCAGATCTCATCTGTTCCATCTCACCTCAATCAGATTTCCCACAACAAAATATTTCTGCCTCCAAGCCTCAAGTTTATATATTTGTATTTGCAACTGATCTCATCCTTGGTTATTAGGGCGCACCACGTATTAAGAGAGCTCACAGCCCATTTTGGAGGTGATAGTGGCGCCCCGCTCCCTGGCATAGTCTGACTCATGGGGATACTCACAAATAAAACACTTCATTGTACAGATGCCTTTGTGTTATCTTTGTACAAGCAGGACTGTCCCACCCACCTAATCTCTACTATTTATAATTTGTTGATTGCTCCACTCGAAATGGCCTTACCTAGCTTTATGGAAGTTTGGGGGAAGAGAGCTCCAGTTATCCCTGTCTCCAAACCAGTGGCAGAATGAGTTTCTTTTATTTTTTTTTCCACAGATGTTCAATTTCCTTTAAGTTTTAAAAGTCTGCCTACAAAATTCTACCAAGATGGTACTGTACCCCAGCTTTTCTCCACAGGATCTCCTCTAGCATTCATGATGCCTGTTGGCGTTGTGGTGCCAGTACTTATTTACATCTTTGGTGGGACAGCCCTGAGCTGGCCTGTTTCTAGTCTGTTATTCAAAATGTTGTTTCCTGTGTCTTGGAAGACTCAGTCTAGCTAACTACAGCATTAATTCTGTGGCCTTATCATAACCTCTTAATTAAGGTGTATAAAAGCTCCCTAATCAGACATTTTATTAAAGGACCACTATAGTGCCAGGAAAACATACTTGTTTTCCTGGCACTATAGTGCCCTGAGGGTGCCCCCACTCTCAGGGTCCCCCTCCCGCCGGGCTCTGGGGAGAGGAGGGGGTTAAACTTACCTCTTTCTCCAGCGCCGGGCGGGAGCTCTCCTCCTCCTCTTCGGCTGAATGCAAATGCGCGGCAGGAGCTGTGCGCGCATTCAGCAAGTCTCATAGGAAAGCATTCATAATACTTTCCTATGGACGCTTGCGTCTTCTCACTGATTTTCACAGTGAGAAGCAAGCAAACGCCTCTAGCGGCTGTCAGTGAGACAGCCACTAGAGGCTTTAGAGGCTGGATTAACCTATTTATAAACATAGCAGTTTCTCTGAAGCTGGACCAGGGACCCAGACCACTTCATTAAGCTGAAGTGGTCTGGGTGCCTATAGTGGTCCTTTAATGCAGCAAAAGCATTAATTCCATTATTTTTGAGAAAGGAGGGTCCTCTAAATAAAGTTGAGGAGATCCGTTCAATGGAACTAATTGTAGCTTCGACTCATTCTACTTTAGAGCGGGTTGCAGGCCTTTGGTATAAAATTATATAGTTTCTTGGAATCGGAGGAATACTGTTCATTGAGGCTTGCCGACTCCAACCCATGGTGTGCTATAGTCCCACTATTAGTGGTGAGACCACTGCCTCCTGGATCTAAGGACACTACCTAAACGGTGGTTTGATCTGTGTTTCTATTCAGCGATGGTACATTAGGTTGCTATAAACTCAATTAGACAAAGTTGCATGGAAGGGTTGTCACTCCTTCTCCAACCCCCCTTTTTATTGTTTATTCATTTATTTTATGTATGGCTAAAGATATAGACTGATTCTTTCTATGCAGCCCTTGAACTATACTAATGCTCTTGCATACTATGCAATGCTGACTATCAAACCGACTGACAACATTTACTTATTTTTAATTTTGCTGTACGTAGATCAATATAGAATAAAGGCTTTGAAAGTTTAAAAAAAAACAAAAAACACACCAAAATGTTAAACCATTACACTATATATATAAAAAAAAAAATTGAATTCACAACTTTGGTGGCATTAACAATAGAATTTGTCAATGAATCATAGATCATGCAGCACTTTAAAAACGGCTTACACCTGGAGTCGATCTATTAAAATATGTTTAGGAGTTTGTTCGTGTATAGTAAGTAACCAATAGATTTCTAGCTCACTCTGGGCCTTTCCTCTCTCCTGTATAGTGGGAGTTTGAAATCTACTCGTGATTTGCTTCTGCCAGCAAGTGCTCTTTTAGCAGCACCACTCTGGAAAATTACGATGCATTTTTAAAATGGTCACATCATCCAATAAATGGGATACATATGAAGTGATAATTAGAGCTTACTATAGCTATTACATCTATATTGTTAATCAGTCAGGCACATGATATTGAATGGATTTAAAGAAATCTTTACAGTGACAGGAACTGAAGGATACGCAAAACAATTACAAGGACAAGTCATAGTAATAAATGATTTAATATTTACCAGTATATGATCCACTCTGTCTCTTTTCTTCCTCCCAAACTTCATCATCCTCTGCCAGTCTGTTTTATGATTGTGGGTTTTCTTTAAACTTAGGAGGCTAAGCACTTCATCTGTTAAGAAAGACTAAAAAAGGAAACCAGTCAAAAACAAGTAAAGCGGATAGAAAAGTTGATGTTACCCAATCTGTTAAAGTGTTACCTTCACTTCTTCAATGTTGTGAGGATCCCTCACCCGGCGGGCATACAGTGGAGAAACTCGTGGAGGCTTCTTCCAAGGAGGCTGAGATCCGCGAGGGTCTGGAGAGCATATATCATCAAATATCTGCAATGTCAGGTCAAACACAATCTGCGAAGAATAAAACAATATGATATTTACACCAAATACCACAAACTAAACATTTGTAAAATCTATTTTCTTACTAGTTATGCTTGTCACTGTGATTGAAACATCTTAAAGGATTAAACAGTAATGTTAAGTGGCTCCATCAGCTTTTTGATTTAGGGAACGTATTCAATTTTGGGGCATTTTAGCAGTAGTTTTTATTTATTTATAATAAATTAAAAAAAACTGTTATGGTCATCAAGTTTAATATCCAAGAGAACAAAGAACCTGTTCATAAATCAATATTTTAGCGTTCAGTATAGAGATCAATATTTAAGCTTAACGGTGAAAGCAACATTTAAATACAACTAAAAGATCTGAAAGACTATTCATAAAGACAACTCATCAACGGTTGCATAAAAATATCAAAACAATTGGACAGTAACATAACCACTAAACTTACAGCCTTGTAAGCACAAACAGCAGTATTATGGTCCTCCTCTCCAGCTTGTGTATAAGATGTTCGTATCTTCTGAAGATCTCCGCCAAGCTGTTTCCATCTCCACAACTCATCAGCTGCCACTTGTACTAACTGTTCTACTTCTGGTACAGTGTGAGGAACAGCCATCAAAGGTTCTGGTTGGGGAACTGGAAGAATGGGTTTGGGAGCAGGCTCCGGGAGGGGTACTACTAGGCATGGCTCAGGGGTAAGTTCTGCTGACATACTCTTTTCCATTTCTCTCTTCTGGGCTTTGCGGCTACTCAGTCCAAAGTCCTCATCAAACCAGTCAGGCTCCTCTCCAAGTACAGTAAGAAGATTGTGGCTTGGTTCAAACTCCTCCACATCCTGTTTGGAAATGGTATTGTATGCTGGTACCTGGATACGAAGAAGCAGATGCTGATTAAAGAAGAATAAAACATTTGCAAAATAATATACCCAATTGTGAAAGCAATATGCAGTGCAAACCAGGATCTGGCATATTTTAAAGTACATAACAGTGAACTGTGTATTTGGAATAAAAATAATAATGCTATCAAATGGCTCTAGGGATATCATAGTAAACCACAAGAACAAAGATCAAAGCTGTTTACGCTTCCAGAACCAAAAACATTTTTCCTGTATCTTTATATTCGGACCACACATTTATCACAAAAATATGAAGCAATATTGCTAAATATAGGACATAAATTTAAAATAGATCCAAGGAGAATCTTATTTGTACCAACATAGAGAATGGACTTAGTTCCAGAAATGTTAGAAATATTTGTACTACCACTGTTCTCAATGTAATCTGCAGCAAATAAACTGGGATAGCTTTGGGTAGTTTGGACCAAAACAGCAATCATAAGCAAATATTCTAACCATGCTTAGAATTTTTCTATACCAACCCCCCCCAAAAACACTTGGCTTGTATGTTACTTACTAATGCTGATGTCTATCCTTTAAACATACGACAAATTTTGGAAAACATTGTTTTATTTATGTGCCAATAAAGCTTTGATAAGTAAGTTTGTACGAACACTATCCGATGTTGAAAATATACATTCTTAATACTCACCAGATGGAGGTGCAAATCTTCATTTGGTGTGTTATTATCTGATTGGATATCACTAGTAGTAGGAGAACTCTGAAGATCTTGGTTGCTCTGTAGAATCTTATCTGCCCGTTGCTTGCGTATATTTTGGAGACAGGCGACTGTGTCCTTCAGACAGAATTTCAAGAGACTTTCAGAAAGAGTGTTCAGCTCTGGTGCCTGAGCTCTGATGGTTAGGAGTTGCTCTTTTTCACTGTCCAAAATATCTAGCAGAGGAAGTTGAGGGGTAAGGCTGTTGTCCTTATCAGCTGAAATTTGTTCTGAGATGTCAACTTTTAAGTCACATGGGTGAAACTGCTCTTCCAAAGCTTTGGTACTCACTTCTGAGACACTAGACACATTGCTTTTTAATGAGGATATCTCCAAAATGTTGTTTTCAGGCACATCACCAAAAGTGGGACTATGAAAACCATCCAACTCTTCCTTTTGTTCAAGATACTTTTTATCTGGAGAAATGTGATCTTCAGATTCATGTAAATTCTCATTCTCAACTAGCAAGTGTGAAATCTTATGAGGCGGTGCAAATATTCCATGCTGATTCAGACAGGAAAAATAACGTTTGCCTTCGTGGGCTCCATCGTTATTGCCTTCAGACTTGTCCAGTTCTACCCCAGCCCAGACACCTTTTGCAAAATGAGTTTCTCCTTTGTAGCGGAGAATGCCAGGCTGTACGCCACTCACCAGAACCCTATTTCCCAGCTGAAAGTCTGCAAGGGGGTCAGTTATATCAAAGGAAGGTTTTGACTCTTCAGAAGCAGGAGTGGTTTCAAGCAATTCTAGCAAGATAGGGCTTGACGATCTACATTCAAGGTGCTCTTCGTCATGCTCATCCAAAACTTCGCTGGGAAGATCTCTCCCAGGTGTAGTTGCGTATGACAATTCTCTCTCATCACGAGGGGTTTCACCAACTGAATGCTTTGTGGGAGAAGATTCCTCAAAATCTTCAGAATATGAGTGTTCTCTTTGTAGGTTTTCATCAGGGGTGGGACTCTTCAGATTAAGACTCAGGACTGGCAGAGGTGATACAGAGTGATCACTTCGTGTTTCCAGCATCTCCTCTGGGACCTCAGAGTGGATGCTAGACACTGGACTGCTATGTGTCGAGTAGGACACATTGTCTCTGTGTGAAGGTGAACGTGGCTCATGGACACAGACGTCCTCATTTGCAGATAATGATGGAAGGCCTTGAACAGACTGTTTCAAGAAACTCTCTGCCTCAGTTTCTCTCCTTCTCTTCTGGGATGTCTCTTGACTGAAGATTCCTGAGTTATGGATAAATTAATAAGCAAGAATATTAAGTATCGGTTTGAATGGATTGCGTGCCATGCTAACAAATTGTAACCACAGTTTCTACATACCAAAAGCCTTTGTGCTAGGCTCAACATGATGTTCATTCTCATTTGCAGAATTATAGGTGGGTGTACCATCAGAGCTGAAAGAAGCAGACAAGATATGGTTAATAAGGTCTATATCACTGGAAGACTTAAACTGATGAATCAGTAAGTTTGCTTAAATTCACATATTCCATAAAATGCTTGATACCTCTGTATGGACTCTGGTATGACCCCAACTGGTTCTCTGGAATCCACTGTAGTTTGTGCACTAGACTTTGCATTGGGCACTGCTCCTTGTTCTCTACTGAGTTCAGCTTGAGTTTTTAGAATAAATTCATCATATGACTGCAAAAAAGTATATAGAAGCTGTTACAACGTGCACATTTGTGTCCCTTATTTACTTCAATGCACATAAATATGGAGATAAAATATTCTGTACAGAATTAAACAAAAAAATGTAAAGGTTACCACTGTACAATACGAAATAAAAAAAAAGGGACTAAAAGACTATTTATTGCACCACAAACTGGATTGAGAGGTCATTTGCATAATAGACAACAAATACTAGATTGAATGATTGTTAGAGAAGGGCACTCTTCAACTCATGTATTAGTCAACACTAGTGATGTCCCGAACGGCGAACATATGACCCTGTACCTCACAGTCAGCAGACACATTCCAGCCAATCAGCCGCAGACCCTCCCTCCCAGATCCTCCCACCTCCTGGACAGCTCACTAAGAATGCAGCTTCAAAATGGATGCTGTCCAGGAGGTGGGAGGGTCTGGGAGGGAAGGTCTGCTGCTGATTGGCTGGAATGTGTCTGCTGACTGTGAGGTACAGGGTCATATGTTCGCTGTCTGCGGCGAACCGTTCGGGACATCACTAGTCAACATTATTCTTGAAACAGAAAAAAAGGAACAACACTCAAATATACTTAAAAATGGGTGCACCAAAGCAAGCCCAGCAAACCCAAAATACGTATAATAAAACAGGAAAAAAATCTTCAGGCACTCACGGAATTAAAGCCACAGGCAGATTTATTGGATAAAAAAGGCAAAAAACATTTCAACCTACTAAGAGGCTTTGCCTTTTTGATCCAATAAATCTGCTTTAATTCCGTGTGTGCCTGAATTTTTTTTTCCTGTTTTATAACACTATTTATTCGGTTACTTCTATTTCAAATATATTTTTGCTTAATCTTCAATGCATTGGATAAAATATGAGTGTTTCTTTAACATCATCCCCAACACAAACGCAAACCCTGGCCTAAAAAACATAAAAGCATGAAACAAAAAATTACACTAGGGTACAATAATGCCATCTCCTGCTCCTGACCTTGGTTCTTGTGGTTTATGATGGTTTCTCCAGTCCCCGCAATAACATTTTTATATATACATAATACATATATATACATATATACATATATATATATACACACACACACACACTGTTGCGGCTCCCGGCTCGCCGCATGGTGCAGCCGTGCCCGACCGGCAAGACCTCGCCGATATTGCGAGCTTACCTGCTCGCCGCCGAGCCGGGAACCGCTCCTCCGTGTCTTCTGGGAGAGTGGAAATCCAGTTGCCCGTGATTATAATGTATTCCTAACGGGTTTTAAAACTACTTTTGAGCCAAAAGGGAGAGAAAAGAACGCTGCCAGAGCCCTAATGAGAATAAAACAAGGCAACCGCTCTATAGCTGATTACACCATAGAGTTCAGGACATTGGCGTCTGAGGTTGACTGGACCAGTAGCGGTTTGGTGGCTGCTTTTTCCGAAGGTTTAGCGGAAAATATACAAGACGAGACCGCAGCCAGAGATCTTCCAGTTAACCTTAATGACTTTATTGCATACATGATAGACACTGATAACAGGCTCAGAGAGAGAGAAAAACCAACAGCGTACTAGACGTTCTAACTTATCCATAGCCCCTCGTTTCTCTAACCCAGTGGTAATTAGCCATGCTCCACCTCCAGAACCTGAACCCATGCAACTGGGCATTGCTAAACTCACTGAGGCAGAGAGACAACACAGACGCAATGAGGGGTTGTGTTTGTATTGTGGCAAAAGGGGACATCAAAGGTTTTCATGTCCGGTTCGGCCATAAAACTTACACACCTAAGGCATGTTCGGGGACCGACCTTAGGTGTGATGTATATGTCCTCTAAATTGACTAAGAACCGTTTCCTTATAAAAATTACTTTGTCTTGTAAGAAAACCACTGTACAGTGTGAGGCTATGATTGACTCTGGGGCAATGGAGAATTTTCTAGACAAGGAATTCTCTGCCAAACATCTCCTGCCCTTAAGGCAGAAAGATAGACCCATAGCAGTAGAGGCTATTGATGGGAGACCTCTTACCCCACGAAACCCTGCCAATGACGGTCTCAGTGGTTATCTTACATTCTGAAGAAATGGTGTACCAAATTATATCTTCACCTACATGTCCGATAATACTGGGTTTCCCTTGGCTCCAGAAACACAATCCATTGGATTTAGATTGGGTTGAAGGAGAAATTGTGAGTTGGGGTGAGAGATGCAGAGGTATTTGTTTAAAACAGGTGCAACAACGAATTGGTACCCTCAATATACCTATAGCGCCTCCCTTGACCACAGAAATCCCATTGCAGTATTTGGACTTAAAGGAGGTATTCAACAAGGTACAGTCGGAGGAATTACCACCACACAGACCCTACGACTGTGCCATAAATTTGTTACCAGGCACTATGCCCCCTAAGGGAGGAGTATATGCACTATCTCCCCAAGAAAATCTTTGCTTAGAAGAGTACATAAAGGATGCTCTCAGAAAGGGTCACATACGTAGATCCTCTTCACCTGCTGGGGCTGGGTTCGTCTTTGTTTCTAAAAAAGAAGGAGACCTACGCCCTTGTATAGACTATAGGGGTTTGAATAGGTTGAAAGGGGCCAGAGTCTTCACTAAGCTCGACCTCAGAAGTGCTTACAACCTAGTCAGAATTAAGGAAGGGCACAAGTGGATGACCGCGTTTAATACGAGAATGGGACATTACGAATACCTAGTTATGCCGTTTGGACTGTGCAACGCCCCAGCGGTGTTTCAGGATTTCATTAACGATGTCCTTAGAGAATATCTCCACATGTTCGTTTTAGTGTATCTAGACGACATTCTCATCTATTCCCCAGATTTAGAGACACATCACGAACATGTGAGAACAGTACTAAAAACCCTGTTAAAGAATGGCCTCTACTGTAAGCTGGAGAAATGCCAATTTGACCAGACTGAGATACAATTTCTTGGGTACGTTATATCTCTGTCTGTTTTCAAAATGGACCCACGCGAAATGGAAGCAGTCTTACAATGGCCATTACCCAAAGGCCTTAAAGCTACACAACGCTTTATAGGTTTTGCGAATTACCGCAAGTTCATTAATGTTTTTCCTCTGTAATCTCTCCCATTACCAACCTAACCAAAAAAGGAGCAAATTACAATTCATGGCCCAAGGAAGCAAAGGAGGCATTTGAGCAATTAAATTTTTTATTTGCCTCGGCACCTGTCCTGACACTTCCCGATCCAACCAAATCATTTATTCTAGAAGTAGATGCGTCAGAAACAGGAGTAGGAGACATTCTGTCTCAAAGAGAAAGTCCTGATACGCCTTTACATCCCTGTGGGTTTTTCTCTCGAAAACTAACGTCTGCAGAGAAAAATTATGACATTGGGAATAGGGAGTTATTGGCCATTGTACTTGCCCTAAAAGAATGGAGGCATCTCTTAGAAGGTTCCAAAGAGCCACTTCTGATTTTTACCGATCATAAGAATTTGGCTTATATTGGGGACGCTAAGAGACTGTCCTCTTGTCAGGCTAGATGGTCATTATTCCTCTCCCGATTCAATTTTGTAATTATGTACAGGTCCGGGACCAAGAACACCAAGGCAGATGCGCTGTCTAGGCAGTTTGACACAGATGAGGTTCCTGAACAAGAGGTATTCCCTATCATACCTCCAGAATGCCTTATTGCCACTACAATTTCCGAAGTGTCTTCTCCACTCTTCTGTGCCATAATAGCAGATCAAACTCAGGCACCCATGGAGAGACCTCCGGATAAACTGTACGTTTCACCACCATTAAGGAAAAGGTACTTGGATTATTCCATGATAATTTGACAGCTGGTCATCCTGGAGTCCATAAAACTCTCTCTGCTATCTCCAGGAGGTTCTGGTGGCCTAAACTTAGGAACGACATCAATGATTATGTAGGGGCATGTCAAATATGTGCCGTTTCTATAGCCTCTCACAAATCTCCTCTTGGGCTGCTACAACCACTGCCGATACCGAATCCAAGCTGACAAGAGACGGGGTGCCAATCCTGTCTATCAACCAGGAGACAAGGTGTGGTTATCCACACGTCATGTCCAACTTAAGGTTTCTTCCATTAAATTTGCCTCTCGGTACATAGGTCCTTTTCGGGTCCTCCGTCGTATCAACCCTGTGACTTATTCATTGGCACTTCCTGCTCACCTGAGAATTGCCAATTAATTTCATGTGTCCTTGCTTAAGCCTCTTACTTGCAATCGATACACTAAAATGGCTGCCCCTCCTCCGCCCTTGGTAGTGGGTGATCAGGAGTACGAAGTTCGTTCTATATTGGACTCCAAAATCTCCAGGGGTATTTTGTCTTATCTAGTTGACTGGAAAGGATATGGTCCTGAGGAATGTTGTTGGGTTCCTGCTGACCAGGTTCATACACTCCGTCTTATCCGGTCGTTTCACAACCGCTTCCCTCATAAGCCGGCTCCTTCCCGCCCAGTGAGCGGTATTCGAGTGGGGGGTACTATTGCGGCTCCCGGCCCGCCGCATGGCGCAGCAGTGCCCGACCTCGCCGATATTGCGAGCTTACCTGCTCGCCAGGAACCGTTCCTCCGTGTCTTCTGGGTGTTGCGCCCAAATCAAAGATGGCGCTGACCACGTGGTCACGCACACCACAAGCTCCGCCCCTCAAATTTATATGGACGTGCGCGTGACGTCACGACGTAAACGCACATGCACGTTCTGGGGTCAGAGGTCACCCTCTGACCAATCAAAGCCCAGAGAGGAATATTTAAATCCCTATTTCACTACAGTTCCTTGCCCTGTCGTGGTTTCCTGTTCCTGGTTCCCGAGAGTGCGTTTATCTTTGCGAATATTACTTCCTGGTATCCTGAGCTTGGCTTTTCCCTGGTTATTCCGAATTCTGGTTCCCCTGACTTTAAACAGTATCTGAGTATTTCTGGCTTCCTTGACCTCGGCTTTCCCTTTGACCATTCTCTATCTCTAAAGTATTAGTCCGGCCATTCTAAGGTCCAGTTTACGCTCTGTCCTTTTATTTCCTTTCCTTTTTTATGTATATGTTTACATAGTTTCTGCGTGTTGGACCACACTAGCAGCCGTGACAAACACACACACACACACGGTAGATCCCTAGATGTTGTAGAACTACACCTCCCACAAATGGCAAAGCATCATGGAAGCTGCAGTTTTCAAACATCTGAGGATCTACTTTTTGGGCACCCATGATCTATATGAAAGTTTACCAATCTCTATTGGTAAAGTGCCATTCGCTCACCTGTAGCTGCTTAAGCAGAATTGCTTCCTGTGCTTTAAGTCTCTCTTTATGCCTTCTCTTTTGCTCCTTCTTTAGATTGTCCACCACAGATTTGCGCTTTCTCAGCTCATCCTTTAATGCTTTAATGCGGCACTCGATATCGCTTTGGTCGGATGTAGTCTCTACAAAAAAACAAAAGCTGTTTTTTTTGCAGTTCAAAAATATGCACAAAACCGTATTCAAAATATCGGAAACACAAATGGGGTTAAATGTGTCACGGCAATCTGTCATATTCACAAAACAGGAATTGCAACTTGTGTATTGACTTTCAAAATGTAGGTTAAAATATCAGAGTTGGAGATTTTCTTTATTATTTAAGTTTTGCAAGCTGAATATCAAATTAGAACTTAATGTTTATGGATCATCTGTTCAGATAGAGAAATGGTGTGGATACAAGGTGAAAGACAAACTATGGTCACCATGTGCTGTTTTAGTGCTTGGAAGCTAGGCAGATGAGGATTGTGGAATCCTAAACTCATTAGGGTGTGCACTCAGAATTTTATGTCGCTTAACATAAAATAAAGAGACTTTATTGAATACTGATTCAAGAAGGACATGTATTTTAATTCAAACTAAAACTAACTTAAAAAAAAATAAAAAAGTACAAAATAGCGGTGTATACAAAGACAGTCAACCTTAAATTTTATTTTCAGATAAATGAACATAAACTGACAGAAAAAGACAGGAAGGGTCATAAAGGGGGGATAAGGATGTCAATTGTGCCTTCTAATAAGGTGTGCCTGGTACACCCATTAGATATGCCTATGTATTTTACCTATAAATACTACTACAAATATTGTCATATGGGGTGTCTACAGCTGAAAAGAGTGAATAAGCCAGGAATACAGTGAGTTTTACCTGAATGTGCTACAGATAAAGATTCCTCAGACCAGGTTTGAGACAGCTGATGAGGTCTCAGAGTGATGTGGGCTTGCTGGGCTGCAGACTTCAAACTTTCTTTGCCAGAATTAAAGGACTTGCTTTGTTTTTGTGTAGACTGCAAAAAAAATAAAAACCTCAACAATCATTAATGCAATTATGAAATCACTGCATTATTTACATGAAAATATATTGTATGTTAAAAGAGACTATAGAGAAATTCATGGAACAAACATATCCTGCACAGCAGAGATGGGCAAAATGCAGTCTCCTCGTTCGTGTACAACTACAATTCTGAGGGTTTCTATTGGCAAAGCAGTGTGACATGTATTACATCATCTAGTCCTCCCTGATGCAAAGGTGTCTTACAAGGAAACAAGACACGTCATATTTATGGGTATGACAGAGATTTAGAGGGTACGCGGATTTCCCTTACCATATTGCTGTCACGTGTTTTGTGGAATACCGAGATACTAGGCAAAAAGTGATGAAATTCAGGCACAAAATGAAACACATTGAATTGGGATGATATTTATTTTCACATCACAGTTGTGAATAAGAACTCTCTCCAGCCAATTGGAGGGGAAATAATTAGATACAGCATCTCTCTTTGGCTGTTCAACAGTCCTGCATACCTGACCCATTTTACTAAATATTTAAGCCTTAATTTTAAAACGGTTTCTCTCCAGATTTGAATATGCACCCCTCCCTCCCCCATTAGTATTCCATATTTTCAAAGCAGCTTTTACATGTAAAATACACATGCAATTAAACATACAGAGATTTGTCTACTAAATAAGGGTTCAGTAAGGCTCTTCTTCAAATATGGCAAATGCTTAGGTCTTTATACATTTGTTTAAAGAGGGCTTTGGGTAAACTGCAAGGGTCACACTAACCGGAAGACTAAGAGTCTCTTACTAACAGCGTACTGCTATTAAGTGCTATAAACACATAAATAAAACATCAGGATTGGGCATATTGCACCCTGCTGGCTTACATCCATGCAATAGGTAGTTCTCAAACTGTTTGTCGGACTCTTTAAAATGTAACAAAGTGGGTATGCAGCTGTTGTGGAACAGTTTTCACGGGACAATAACTTGTTGGCTCGGTATTAGTGAGTGGGGAAGTGGTATGTGAAGATGATATTGACCCATTTTAAACAAAGAACTCATCACATGACATCTGAGCTTCCTGCACCTGATCAAATCCCTTGCCACGTGGCTGCTAGATAAATAGATAGAATTACCCCTTTGCTTTGGAACGATGATGCCATCTCCTCAGAAATACTGCTGTGGTCTTCACTTTGTTCGAGTTGTTCAGCGATGCTTGAGTGTTCAACAGTCTCAGAAGGCACATAGGCTGATGTTGGACTCCCAGGCGCCTTGGTGGGAATCGTAGAACTTAACAGTCCAGGAGAGCCCTCAATGCTCACTTGCTCTATAGGAAAGAAAAATCAATTAGTATTGCTCTTTAGACTTATGCACAAATGTCCGGTAGATTGGTTCGTTCTGGTGTAGATTAAAAGGAATTTGATCTCTTTAAATCCACTGATATGCATCTGTGCACAAGTCTATTGCTTTTACTCACCCAAATAAATCACCCTGCTTTTCAAGAATGTTGTTTAATTTGAAAAAACAAAACAAAACAATGATATTCTGTTTAATCTTGCAGTTTGAATAGAAGTGTTTACTGATTGAACACTGCACATAACCAGTGAAACACTATTGTGTGATTATTCATTGTTGTCCTCTGAAACAGTCGATAAAAACCTTTATTGCAAAACAAAAAGCAATAACAAGTAGGAAGTCAAAATAAACATTATGTGATCGCATAATTTGTCATTAAAATTTTGGAGTAACTTGGATATTGCTCATAATTTCTTTACATTCAAAATACATAAGCAAAATTAATCAGGCATCCGTTCTGCAATCAAGGTTACTGAGCTGGGAACCTGGGCAGTATCTTTCTATGATCAACAACAAAAATACACTGTTTTTTCCAGTAAACAGGAAGACCTACTGGCAAAAGAAGATTATTCTTCAATGAATATTAAGATGTAAAAAAAAGAGGAGAATTTATATTGCCCAATGCCCGGGGCATGTAGTTCAAGGTGTCAGTCAGGCAATCATTTTGGCCTTCAGCCCTGCTGTTAAGCCAAACATGCACACAAATACATGCATGTTCGTACATATACGTACACACACACACACAATATGCGGGGACAGAGGGAGAGGCCCTAGGGGTTACTCTGAATTTTCACAAATTAAAAAACCACTATAGTCACCAAGCAAACTTTAGCTTAATGAAGTGGTTTTGGTGCATAGATCATGCTCCTGCTGTCTCAATGCTCAATTTTCTGTTATCTAGGAGTTAAATCATTTTGTTTATGCAGCCCTAGTCATACCTCCCTGCATGCCTTCCTAAGCACTTCCTGTAAAGTGAGAGCTAATGTTAAAAACTTCCTTTATTGCACAACATGTATAGTCTGTAATTCCTTAGCTCTTGCTCTGTTAATAGCCCTCCAGACCTTGCAGGAGCCTCCTGTGTGTGAATAAAGTTCAACTTACAGAGCAGGGGTAAAACTTGCTAAAGTTAGTTACCTTCTGATCTGAAAATAAAACCTTTTTTTTCACATTCAGGCTGTATCAGCCAGGGGAGATGTGACTACAAAGACAGAAACAAAAGTGATTTATCTCCTAAATGGCAGAGAATTGAGCAGCGAGACTTCAGAGGTATGATCTATAGCCAAAAACAGCTTCATTAAGCTAAAAGTTGTTTTGGCAATTATAGTGTCCCTTTAAATCTGAATGAAAAAGTGAGGCAAAAAGTTGTCACTATATCTGAGCTGGATAATTTTTCCAAATAAACTTTTCATGTCTCAGTTTTTCCATTTGGATTTAATTTGCAGAAATCCATAGTTTAATGAATGACCCTGTCTATGTCTGGGGGTGTATGCAGGTGCCACAACCTGGAATTATTTTGTGAGTCAGGACAAGCAGATCGGGCTATAACTTTAGCTCCATGAAGAAGTAGATTTTTGGTCTTTACATTTCTGCAGCCCTGAGAAAGGCTTCTTAAAGTGGTTTCTTCATTTTTGCTGCCCCCTCCTCCCTCGCGCACCCCCGCCCTTACATTATCCTGAAGCTCCGCCCCACGACGAGCAGTATCTAATGTACATGCACAGCAAATGCCGCACATGCATTAGACCTCCCCATAAGAAAGCACTGAATCAATGTTTTCCTATGGGGAAAATCTAACACTGGAGGTCCTCATGCTGAGCAGAGCATGAGGACCTCCAGCGTCCGATATTGGACAAAAAGTCACTCTGGGCTGACTTAGTGCTGCAATGTAAACATTGGCACTAGGTGCAAAAGGGACACAGCACCCAGACCACTTCAATGAGCTGATGTGGTGGTCTGGGTACCTACAGTGTCCCTTTAAAGTAATTATGAAGTCAATATTCCTTATGAGTACCTTTTCTTTTTCTAGAGAAATATTATGTACTTTTCTTCCTATTTGCTCAAAGAAGGATTGGACACATCCAGTGCTATAATAATCAGCTATGGTTTTATTCCTAAAATGAGACTGCAGATAAATGATCTATATATCGAAATGAATATCATTAACTGCTAAATGCATGTTCTGTCCTGTATTTTCTTAAGCAGGATACTTGGCTTGATCACAAAATCAATCAATCATGAAATTCTAGGAGAAACTGGAATTTATTTTACTCCTGATCCTAGTGTAGGGGTTTTAGCCCAACAGGACATGTTTCCGAATGAGATATATTGTTTCCAGATTAAGCCACTATCACCTTACATAGTAGGGATTGTGCTATCCCAGTTTATATCTATATTACTCAATCGGTATCCCACCTTCTGTAGTGTTTAGTACTTCTGGACTCTTTGTTTTCGCTCTCTGGTTATCCCAAGCCGCAAGTGCTTGCTTCTCAATGCGTCTGATTTCAATTTCCTCTGCATCCAACCGCTTCTTCCATTCCAGCAGCTCTTGGGCATGTAGTCTTCGTTGCACCAGTTGCTGCTCCCTTTTTGTTAAAAACCTGAGGAAGTGTCAAGGTGTGAGTACCACCAAATTATGGAAAAACATCACACGGGGTAGGTAGGGGTGAGGGAAGAGCAAGCAGAAGAAGGGGGTGTGATACACAACATCCACATGCTCTGTCTTCCCTAGCCCCCAACAGCACACTGTCATGCCCCCGTGATTCATCTTCTCCCCCACACACAATGCAGGGAGCAGAGGTAGTGGTGCCGTTACCTGAGCAGCTGGCGGCAGATATAGAGCTGGAATTTGGGGTGAAGTTTGGGAAAGCACACACTGAGAGAGGCCCAGTGCTGGGGCGTAAAGACAGAGAAGAAGCAGTGAACAGGGCAGATGTCTCTACAAGAAAAGGAGCGAGAGTTTACCAAGGAGACGAGAGAGGGAGAAAGAGTAACAGAGTGGACCAGAAGAGAGCATGCGATGAAGAGGACTATGGCATGGCTACTAGAGGATTTAACCAAGGCGAGAGGAAATAACAAAAACAAAAAAACAAAGAACATATTAGATTTTAAATGGCCAAATCATCAGTTTGAAAAATAAGGTTCACAACATTTAACAAGGGAGAAAAGAAAGTTAATCAGAAAACATAAAAACCACGGGGGGCAGCCACATAAAAGTCCTGGGTTTGGAAGGCTGGGAAGACCAGAATCTTTACGAATGAAAAAAGTGCCAGTATGAATAGGTGATTTAATGTACAGCAACACACCAGGTTAAGAACAATAAACAAAAGACAGAAAAGAAGAAATAATATGTTGCAATAATATGGAGTAAGGAATTGATGAGAAAGCAAAGCATATGGTGGCGCAAAAAGCATTCTCCTATATCCCACCCATCTAAAAATTAGAAAGTTTGAAAAATATACGGTAGGATTTATAAAACACAACAAAATAATTTTAAGGGAGAACATTTACTTGGCGTCCATGTGGCTGTGCATTTTCCGCAGTTTTTGCATAATGCTGCTGGTTTCACTGCCTGACACAGATACTGGGGAGGGACTGCGACTCTCAGCATCAGAGGGTAACTGAGTGGACGCAGGGCTTGGCTGAACATCTCCTTCACTGGGAAGCTCCTGCATGTAAACATTAACACAAGTGAGGTAGTAGCAGCTAATGGTTCAAACAGATGTCATACTTATCAGAACACCAAAGAGCAATAACGTTTAACAAATCACCCTATGTATAACATATTCCTCTATTAAAAGTTTTATAGTTCTACCCATTGAAATGACAAATATTTTAAATAAAAAAGACATTTTCACAACAGAGGGAAAAAAAATACATTCTTGTCCCTACAAACAGTAAACATATATACCTAAAATCCTGCAAGCCATTTTTGCAACCACTATATTTTCCCGCACATTCTGCTTTTTGCATCTGGCAGGAATATGATGTCATAGCTCCCCACTTAGAACCATTAAAAAGGATTCTCTATGCACTAAAACAATGTTAGTTTAAAAGACAAAGGTCACCTCAAAATGATACTTTTAATAATCCTTTGATGAAGTCTTAAAAGGAAACGGATTTGCTTTCAAAAGTTGCTCTGTCAAAACCCACCCTCAAAAATGAGAATTTCATGAACACAGAACCTTTATGAAATAAACACATTGACGATTCACTGAAATTCCAATACAGTCAAAAAATATCACGAGACAAAGCTTGACAAGATTTAAAAATAATTAGATTATCTACCATTTAGGAGATAAATAATTTTTTATTCTGTTTATGCAGCCCTAGCTGGGACTGACATAGCCTGCATGAAAAAATGGTTTCAATGTCAATCAGATCTTACAACACATTGTGGTTACTTTAAAAGGTGTTATCTCCTGCAGGATCTAGCTATTGACAGAACAGACTATAATTAATTCTAAATTAAACAGACTGTGCAATAAAGGAAGTACAACAATTATATCTCTCTTTACAGGAAGTGTGTAACATAGAAACATAGAATGTGACGGCAGATAAGAACCATTCGGCCCATCTAGTCTGCCCAATTTTCTAAAAACTTTCATTAGTCGCTAGCCTTATCTTATAGTTAGGATAGCCTTATGCCTATCCCATGCATGCTTAAACTCCTTTACTGTGTTAACCTCTACCACTTCAGCTGGAAGGCTATTCCATGCATCCACTACCCTCTCAGTAAAGTAATACTTCCTGATATTATTTTTAAACCTTTGTCCCTCTAATTTAAGACTATGTCCTCTTGTTGTGGTAGTTTTTCTTCTTTTAAATATAGTCTCCTCCTTTACTGTGTTGATTCCCTTTATATATTAAATGTTTCAGTCTTTCTATGTAGGAAGACTGTGTGAATTTGCTGCAAAAAGCAAAATAATTTAACTTCTGGATGACAGAGAATTGATCAGTGAGACTGCATGACTGTGAGACTATACATCAAAATTGATTCATTAAGCTGGAGTTGTTTGGGTGCTTAGCATGCCCTGGTCTGCCCAACAACAAACACAGCAAATCCCCATAAGCAAACTCTACCAGTGTGTCAAAATACACAAGTTATGATTTCTTTTTTGCATCAGCAAAGTTGATAATACATATAACAGTTTAGTAAAAGGTACAAACTCACCAGCTGCCCATTCTCTGCAGATTTCAGCTTCTCCTGCAGCCTCAGAGTACTGTTCTGAATGCGCTGGATCTCTTCTTGTTGTTTCAGAATAAGTTGCCTTTCCCTGCGAGCTGCCTTGTTTGCTTCTTGGAGACGTTTTATTTCCGCCTGATAACGAAAACATGATGTCAAGGTTGGTGGGGAAAAACCAAAACCACCCACCAAAATAAATTTAAAAAAATCTAAAAACAATAAAACCCACAAAGAAATACAGAAAGATTTACATTCATTTCATTATGCAGGTATCACACCAACCTGTTCCTGCTGGAGCCTCAGTAAAAGTCCTCGCTGTCGCTTCCTCAGGGGTGGCATCTTATCATCTTCCCCTTTATCTCTTAGGCGCCTTAAGAGCAGCAACAGATAAGGTTACATTAGAAGACAGCATAGCAGCATTTAATTCATATAAAATAGACATTAAAGGGAAACTTCACTGCCCAAATAAAAATACATACATACAACTGTCTAGTTGATATACCCCCATAAAAACATGCATATATTTAATTATGCATTTTTTCATTGTTGCTATTTAAGACAAACCGCTTGCAAAAGCTACAGATCTCTTGCCCGCAATCTTTGTAAGCCCTTTCTTCCCTTTGTCCCTAGTCCAGACTTTTTGTGGCTGTAATGCAGATCAATGAGAAGTCTTTACAAGGCAGGTGATCTGGGCAATTGCCTGCCTCTTGCGTTTAGCTCCACAGAGCTAAACTACCAGGAAGTAATAGGACTGGTTATCTAATTGGCAGCCAGGAAGCTGTAAAAAGGTTATTTTATAAAAGTGCCAATTTCTTTTGAAATCTGCACTTTTTTTTTTTTAAATGAAAGAAAGAGGATCAGCTTCACATATAAAGCATACAGCAGGATAAAGTGCTTTAGGAGTTAGGAGTGTTTAAGTCCTTCAAAGTAAAAAAATTAAATAAAGCTTAAAGAGTGATTTACAGTATTTTAAAGAGTTATAAAGGCACTTTAACCAGATGATTGCCCAATCCACTAAGGCTCAGCATTTAAAAGTCTTTTAGATCTTATGCTCCCAATAAATACTATTTTTTCTTTGGTAAATGCTTTCAAGTTTTATCTTTACTTTGAATATACAATAATGCTCTTATGTTTTTACATCTGTGTTACAGCCATCACTTGCAAACAATATCAACACTTATAATTAACATAATGTACACATTTTAAATTCAAAATAGTTTCCGGCTAGAGATTATTCAAATAGGTGGCGCCTCGGCCAGTTAGAAACCACAATAAATAGGCAGACTGCTAAATGTGGCCAGACCTGATGGAACCATGACTTAACAGCTTGGAAACAAGGTGACTAACTACCGTTTTTGATGTTCTAGCCATGCCAGTTCAGCCTTTGTCTTGTCCTTAAGAGCTTTTTGGCGAAGGCGGAGAAGAGCAGCTTGGTGAGCTGAACGCATTTCTCCTTCCTGCATGTACTGCCGAACCATTTCCATGGTGAATCGCCAAAAACTGTCCTGACCACTTGAAAAAGGTCCGCTGAGTTCCTGTAAAGAAACCAATATACAAGTAGAATCATTCAAATCACCTTAAAGTTAAGATTCCATTACCAAATGAACATTTAATTTCACCTTGTCTGGAGTACTCTCTTCATCAGACTCATGACGATGGCTGCGCTGCCTCTCCAGACTTCCTCGTCTGTGTGCCTCAGAGGGAAGCAGAGAACGGAACGATTGCTCTTCTATGCCCTCCTCACTTACAGGATCTGCGGAGCTGGTTTCTGAAGACAGACCGGCAATTAGTGCTACTATTAAAAATGCAGGGCTATCCAGCCTCATCTTAAACACATTCTAAATTCTGAATCTGTATCAATTACCTCATGAGGTATAGGGCAATTTTACCTTTATTTTCAAATGACACACTCTTTTCCTCCAAAACGCTCCTGGACAGGGATGGTAACTCTTCAGAAATGCTCTCTTCAACTTCACTGTGGCTAACAGTGGCTTCCATCACAGGAGCTGGTTCACTGTGCTGCTCAGTACCCCTACAGAACAAACATTCTCATTTACAGTAATCCCACAGCCTTTGCAAGAATGCCCTCCCCACACACACTTTTCCTACAGCACAGATAATCACTCATTGAGAAGCCTCTTTGCTGGAGACGCACGTGCGATTGTGGCTTTCCTATGCTTCTCTGTGAGATATGGCACACTGCGCGGCCACGCACCAGCCCAGTACGCCTGTTGCTTTCGATAACTCAGTGGAGCTAACAGAGGAAGAAAACCTCTCTGGCTGTCTGACAGGCAGGGAGGTGGTTCTGCTCCCAATAAGAAAAGTGACAATTTCTATTGATATCGCACTTTTAGAAACTGTCAAAAAAAATGACAGATTCAAGACACATAAAGCAATTTAGCAGCTGAAGTGAATTATGTGTGTGTAGTGTTCCTTTAGCAAAAAAGAAATGCGTTGTTCGAATAATGATCGGACCATGTACTTTTATACTGCCCAAACATGAATATATTTATTATTTTTATATAGAATTTTTTGGTTTGGAGGAGGAATCATACGTTTCTGTTTAATATTCCTACCTATGGGGAGGTTCCCCAAAGCTGGACGGACTGCTGGAAGACTGAGAAGAAAGCAGAGGTGAAGACCCTTTTTTCCTGTAAGAAGCAGAAAAAAAGTACATGGCAAATGAGTTACTTAAAAATAATTGTGTATAAAACAACAATAACGTCCGACAAACAGTGATATTTTGCTATATTAAAAGGATATTGCATTAGATATGTTGCTTTGATAATTTAGGCACCATCGCCTGGTTTTCTGTAAAACAATGTTAGAATAGTTAATAAAAACTTGGGCTCTACCTGGCACACAAAGTCTAACTCCTCTCCAGACGCTAAGATAATGAGGTAGCTATATTTCTACATTAACTGTCCAAAAGAAATTCATACTTTGGCAGCAATGATCGGCTGCAAGCCCTGGTCTAACTTCAACTGGAGGGATTAAGGGTCACTGAGTGTTCCTTTAAATATACACAAGGAGCATAAATACCTGGTCCCATGTTGTCGGAATCTGTTTGGAAGATCAACAAGAGAAGTCACAGTAGGTTCTGGGCTAATTGAAGAAACTGAACCACGATCCATCTCCTAACAAGAAATACCAGTTAATACCACATTGTAATACAGCACTGCATTTGCACACTTTTTAGATCATCAACACAGAGATCTGTGACTTTGTTCTGTAAGAAATGTAGTTTGTTTGTACGAATTGTGCCAGCCCTCCCCTGGCTATCATTTTTTATTTCTTTCCAAATATACACCAGATCACCACTACTTTACACATACAGGGCTGACCACTGCATGCCCAAGATTGGCTTTGAGTACAGAGTGAAGTAGGTCACACACTGACAGCTTATTATTGACTGGACCGCTTTGTACATTTAAGAATTTATCCACATATTGCGGTGATCTGCCAAACAGAAAGCAACACTTAACTTCAATTTATTTCTTTTAGCAACAGTATTGAAACACTGTGACCAAACTAGTAGGCATATAATTTGATTGCTTCCTAGGAAAACTATACTTAAAATAGGGATTATTGGCACCATATAGCAAGCCTGTAACCACTCATGCTGATGGGTTGCATTAAAAACAAAACAGTTGTCCATGAGTGGGTCACTGGACAGTTGAGTTGTGTTTCAAAGCTGTTGTATACAGCAAACACATACTCCAAGGAATCCATGTCTAAAATAGAATAACAAGGCAAAAACTGGATTCTTTGTTGAACTAGTTTGCATATGCCCAACCAGAATCCCCTGCAGTAATAATGTCAGTGCAGATTTGAGATTTCTGTGGGAAAAGCAGGTCTTCTGGCTTGGCTGGTGTGCAGATCTGTGTTTCACAATGTATTGACTACATATCTTACACCCCTGTAAATTCTTTCAGTGCTTCCAATTTTAAGACAAACACCCAATAAATATTTTATTCTTTTTTTTCTTTTTAAATATATGGACATTTAGGCATAAAAAAAATAAATAAACTTATTTATTCTGTTGCTGTACCAATTCAAAGAAAGGTTTTGGAACGTCTACTAACCTCTTGACTTTTAGTTTTCTGCGGTGCAGATGTCTCCATTGTCTTCTGGAAGCGTTGAAGCATTTCAGTATGTGTCTACACAAAATAAAATGTTAACATACATTATTTAATATATCAGGCAAATAGAACAAAACACTAAACTCACCTGTAATCCAGCATTGAGGCATTCTCCTTGCAGCAGTGGCTCTGTCTTTTGTGAAATCATCAGAGAAACATTGTTCTCATAAAAAAGCAATGGCAACATTTGGTGTCATCATGCTGTGCATTAGAATGAAGACCTTTGATTTTTTTTTTTAAAGGTTCGAAGTGTCTTTAATGGGTGTCAGTCTTGTACAAATGGCAGTGTTTTACATTGCCAGAGAAAAGAGACAGCATTTATTTACCAAAACAACTACATTAAGATGTAGCGGCTTTGGTGCTTACAATGTCTCTTTAACAGGTACCTTTGTAAGACAAATCAAGTTACCTGTGCGGCCTTCTGTCGTGCCTCTTCCAGTTGCCTCAAACTTTCTTGGGCCTCTTGCTCTGCCTGTTGTCGAAGTGCGGCCATACTTTGCTCATGGCGTTGCTGCTGTGCCTTTAAGAAAAACAATGCAGTTGCAGACAAAAGGATATGGTATGGCAGCGTAATGATATCAATCTTGCTACATGTTTAGTATGTCTATGTGCTGTTTAGCCCACCCAAGTTGGACCAGTATGCTCGTACCTTAAGAATCTGCGCAAGAGAAATGGTTTCTTGCTGGGCTAATGATATTCCACGTGCTCGCTCCATGTCACACAATTGGCGCACAGATTCTTCCATGGCACTGAGATAATTCAGCTCTGTTGACATGCGCTGATGAAGCACTGCTGGAGAAAACCGCATGGTACCTGCAAGGTGGTGGCTGTTAAATAGGTTATATCTAAAGATCTCTAGTGATCAATAGCTATCACTATCATGATTTTTTTATTTTTTTTTAAAGAGGGCATTACCTTGGTCTGACCCTGTGGCTGCAACTGATGCTTGAACTCCCAATCCTGGTGTTGTAGAAGGTCTTGGTGATATTGGTGGTTGAGCTACTGCATCTGTGACACTTGAGCGATTACTCCTTAAAGATATTTCACTATCAGAGAAGAATAAAATGAAAGGTTAGAGACTGCAGCAGAACAGAGAGTCAACAAATACGTTTTAAAGGAACAGTTCGTGCTCCATAACAACTTCATAGGAATTAAACTATTCGTACTGCAGGTACTTGGCACAGGCTTTTCTATAGGTGTTAAACTGTTCCTGAATGCTTTAACCTGAAAGTCTTGAATCCAGCACTGTTTAACTCTGCTTCTGCCCTTCTCTCAGATTATTGAAACAGAAAGCCTCAGACAGGGGTGCTGCTGATTGGTTAAGAGTGTCAGCTAACGCTCTCAGGCGATCCGTAGCTCTCCATTCATGAAAACAGCTTGAGAAAAATATGTACGTTTCTCATCAGTTTTGTCCAATGAAGTTGTTATGGTGTTCAGAATGTTCCTTTAATATAGCAAACATCATACCTAGACATGGATCGAGGTGAAAGCTCTCCAGTTGTGCTCTCGGTAGCATCGGAGCCTATCAAGTGCTCCTTTCCAGGAGGGGACATAGTAGGATTACGTTTGTTCCCTTGCGATCTATGCTCCGAGCCAGAGGAGCTGTGATCATGTACCAGAGAATTCTGGGAGCTGAGGTTTTGCTGTCCTTTCCCTGCAATCCCAAATGCAAGATAAATATATGTACTGAAACAGAATATAGCAAAACACATAGGTTATAGTGTTCATCTCTTAACCAGGAATTTGCAAATTTTATAGCAAAATAGCCAAATTTGAAATATTTTTCCAGTGTTGCTATTTTGGCCTAAAATTTGTAATTTCATGGTCAATTGTAATTTTAGTGAATACCTTTGGTATTCTTTATAGCAGACACAAATTAAAAGAGACCTTATATGACACTATTCAATTATTGTAAAACTCAGTATGTGTATTAAGCAGACATAATAACATCTGCAAATACTTACTTCTATTCATTATTTGTAAAAACAACATTTCAGAATTTAAAGATATTTAAAGATACTTCTAGCTAGGGCACAATATTTGTTCTCAGGGAAGGGATTTTGTTTGTGGTTGAAAATTGTGATTTCATTCCCTCATAAAACCATCAGCACTGTTACTTTTGACTGTTTGTGTAAACGTGGCTGAGAGTAAAAAAAAAAAAAATCAAAAAAAAAGGAAAAGATAAAAAATTTAAAAAAGCATGAAAATGTAAAAGGATGGTAAATCATAAAAAAAAAAAAAAAGTCCGAGGGCAGGTCCTGACTGCTGAGTCAGACGGACGCATAACACTTTGCCTTTCTGCTGGAACGCTATATTCTACTACATTGCCTATGGTCCGTGGCTTCTTTTCAGACTGCCAGTAAAGATTTATGCTCAGACACGGTAGCTGGTGCAATTTGGAGGCCGACATAATCTGGGTTTGGCCTGAACACACAGAGATTGATTCTAAACAAAGGAAGTGGTGCTTCCTCATATTATGGTGCACCAGACATCTGGAACATAACTTCTTGGCCCCTGTTCCCCTCCTCTTCTTAAGAACTGTGGGAGTTATATAATCTGACACAGTTGTGTTCAGGTGTGGAGTCTATGATGGCGGAGAGGCAGAATGAGCAACTACCCTGCCTTATGACAGGAGAAATCCTGTCTAAATTCGACAGCATTTGCATGGAATCCTGGACTCTGATATCTCACAGAGCACTCCTGATGCAGCTTCATACTAAAAAATTGTGGAGGGATCAGAGTCAGCAAGGAAGGAGGCCTAGGACGCAGATACTGGGCAGAGCTACTACTCCATGTGGCGTTTCTGCTCAGTGGAACCCACTCGGACAGAGAGCCGTTCGGGGGACGCTCCCATTACAATGGCGTTACATCCACGCCATTCGTAGAAGATGATGGGGTTGCCGAATCCTTTGCTCTTATTCACACCTTATAACAATTTTTATCTTTTACACCCTGCTTCTCTATGTGATGGCAAGATGAAAATAAACATAAAATAAAAATAACAAGGGCAGCAAAAGCAAACAAACAAGCACATTTTTATTGGGTCTGTAATAACTTCCTCACGCCTTTTACTTTGAAAGTAAAAGGAATGTGCACTTACGATGTTTGTTTAGTCTCTGAGAGGATGCTGACCCAGGGGACGAGGCAGCAGATCGAGACCCAGATGAATGAGATGATGCCACTTCACTTCTAGACTTGACCAGTGGGAGCTCTTCCTTAATACTAGAAGCATTACTATCAACACTGGAGACAGCATGAACAACAGGACATGTCATTTATTCACATATTAAATCAGACATCATTAATATCTACATTGTATAGCCGAGTTAAAGACATGGATTCCAGCCCCCCTTTGTGTTTATAGTTGGGCTTACATTTCAAAGCAAGTTGCACTGAACTACTTTTTACACCTCCTTGGAGCCCATCCTTACTGCTTGCATGGGAATTTATCAATGAACCATCAAGACAAATCAATGGAAATTTCAGAGTAAAACTCATTACTGCTTGTCTTGATAAGCAAACAGGTTGCGACAGAAAGCCTGGTCTTCTGGTCACACTTACAGGCGCTGAATGAGTGACACACTGTTTCTCATTAACAGCCTTTGAAAAAGAAAGGTGAAAAAACTGCCTGGGTAAAAAAATTAAATAAATAGAACTCTCCCTACCACTAATGGTATACAGATATCGAAGGTAACATGACCAGAAAGAGTTCTATATCCAGGAGAGAGCTGTCATGTTAGGCAGATCCCAAATACCGGTATAGTTATTTACTTGGAATGAAATGCCCAATTTTTAAATTTACTTAAGTAGGTACAACATAGTTAAAGTCCCAACACTTTTCTCTAAAACCTAAGCACAGTTTTTTGCTGGTGACACAGATCTTTTCTGCTTACAGAAGTTAAGAGACAGGCAAAGTATTGAAACACTACCACATTTTTGGGCCTGTGATGGCTGAACAGAACTTCACCTAAACTCTACCCTGCAGCGTCCTTCCCTTTTACTGTTTACAGAGGTAGAGTAAATGTGACATGTGAGCAATGTGGACATCATAAAATGTAGGTAATGTAGCACATGGGAAATGCAGGCATAATAAAATAAATGTCACAGAGGTAGAGGGTCAGTATTATGACAAATATCAAAGCAAAACCAAACATGTTGTACTAGAGGGATTTGTGATTTCAGAGGCGCAAACCTCTACCATGACATATACTCAAATTACAGGAGATGGGCAAGAGTGATTCTTACAGCTGACCCTGGCAAGCGATAAAGTAAATCTTTTGCATAAATAGCTTCTTTTTTTCTTTTCCCATTTATACATTTTTATTGTTTTTTTGTTCACAAAGAGGATATGACACATATGTACATTAATGCCTATACATGAAATCTAAGATTACATCAATCGTACCATTCAATCCATGTTCAAGACAAAGACATTACTTATTTTTTACATGCTTTTAACCCCTTAAGGACCAAACTTCTGGAATAAAAGGGAATCATGACATGACATGTCACCCGTCATGTGTCCTTAAGGGGTTAAACGGATAGCTGGAACGAACAATATAACACAGCAAAGTTCTGGGAGAGAGTTCTCCATTTGTATGTCCCTGTGACATAATACATATTCTCCTATTGTGAAAGTCCCATACATCTTCACACATAAGGAAATTATTTTAGAGCTAACAAGAAAATTTAAATAAAAGAATAAACTTTAAAACAAAAACTTCAACCATAATTAAAAACAGCACTGTCCCCCTTTTCCTATCTATGTGATACTAAGGTGGGTTCTGCTCACATTGTTCGAGTAGGTGCTACTAGAGACCACAGAAGGTCATTTAAAAACTGTTTATTAAGGTCTTTTAACAATTAACCCTTCCAACAATTTACCCTGGAAGGAGTAATGCTGTCCCAGTAGTTGGAGTCGTGGATAAGTTATCCTTTTCTTGCTCTGTTATTATACTTCCTCTCTTATTTCCCCCTGATAATCTGATACCTGAGCCTTTTAATGGTTTTACGCCCTTCTTCCCCAATCAGTGTCACAGTTTTTTCCACAGTTCACAGATTTTATCATACGTATATAAGTTATTTGCAGACCATCTAATTTCCTCCATAAGTCTCAAGTTTCCTACTCTGGCTAACCATACTTCCCGGGAGGGTTTGGACATTGATTTCCAGTTAACCGCTACCTCTACTTTAGCTGTCGTGAGCTTAAAGTATAACAGGGAGTTTTTGTATTTATGTTTAGATTGAGCTGAAGAAAAGTCGGGTGCATGAAATAGCATTGTCGGTACATTCATGTCTAGTGCATGTCCGGTTACATTTTTGATAGTGTTCCTCACCTCTTTCCAGTATGGCTTTATTATTGAGCATTCCCACCATATATGTTGTAGTGTGCCCTGTTTTCCCTATGACATATCCAGCAACGGTGAGATGGTGCTATTTTTTTTTTTTTGTGTAGTTTCAAGTTTGCATCTTGTAATGGAATATTTCTGTGTGAAAGGTCCTCTGAAATATTGTCAACCACGTCTGTTCGTTCAGTGGTTCTGGGAGATATGCATTCCAGATATTAGCATATCGTGGTAATGCGGATTGCTGGTCTGATTGGATCAGGTTATGGCATTGTGATACTGTTTTGCTTGGTTTCTTAGCCTTTGTGCATAAAGTTTCAAAGGTAGTTTCTGGCCGTAGGCCTGTCTTTGGAACTGGGAGCGTTTTTAAAAAGTCTGTAAGTTGATAATATTGTAAGCTCTGGAGGAATGACGGGGAGGCTTTTGTAACCAGTTGTATTAACTGTTTCACTTGAGCGGCAGATAAACACTCTTATTGGGAGGGTTTTAATTTTAGGGAGTTCCGACTGTGTACAGATGGCTTTTTGTGATATGTCGTACTCACCTCTGTTGCAGAACCTTCTGAATGTCTGATGTACTCTCACTGGCTGAAGGAGAAATAAAATCATCTACATAGGATACACTGTCCTGGGAGCTGGCATGTCCATATGGTGGCTGGATTTCAGGTGAACCCTTTCCTGACTGTTCATCAAGACCTTTGAAAGACAAATACATAAGTTATTTTAAAAAATTGAGTGAGAGATAAACATGTCACTGTTAGAACACACTCACCTTTCCCAAAGAGTTGGTATGATTTAGTGAAGATGTTGATGACACTATGAGGACTTCCCTTAGACAGCTCTTCCCAAGGGCCTCTCACTTGGGAACCAATGTTAGAGGATGACAGTGGTGGATACTTTGTGGCCTCCCTTTGGAATTCAACAAGTGGAGCATAGGAACTGGAGTCCCTAGCACAAAACTCTTTATTTCTAAGAGTTTCTGCTGGATTTATAGGTGACCCAGCCTGTGGGGACGCTCCCTCCCCTTCAGAAAGGCTTCCTTCACTTAGCAGCGGGCCTTCACTGATAGAACTGGTGCTTGAAATTTGAGAGATACTAGCTTTGGGGGAAATATTGTGATGAAGATCAAACAGTCGATCTGTTTGTATTAAAGGAGTTTCTTCATTTCGGACTTCACATATCCCAGGGGATGTAATTACTTGATGAAAATCGTCAGGAATCATCTTGTAAAGACTGTTCGCACCAGGAAGGTCTCTCTGGGAAAAATTACTTGTACATGTCCCCAGCATCCTCTGAAGCCTGGCAGAGAAAATGTCTTCACTGGCTTCTCTTTCAGGTGGGCTGTCTGGTTTCTTCCACGCAGTTTTTATTTCATGCTTGGGTTCAACATCAGCATTCCAATTCGACGGGAGACTTGGTGAGCCTCCAGCTAGTTTTTTAGCTTCATTTTCTATTCTAGATGACAGAGACACTGCAGTTGCCTTTAGATTCTCAATGCGATCAAGGTTGCTCCTGAAATTTGAGGACATTTTCCCCTGGAGGCCTTTTCTTTGTGTTTCTGGAATCGTTGTGCTCGTAGTTTTCTTTAAATGTATTAAAGACTCCACATCCCTGGGCAGAGTGAAGAGTTGAGAGAGCATTCCTGTTCCCCCTGCAGATTGACTTTGAGGTAATGAGCCCTTTGAGATCAATCTGTCTGGCTGCAAGCAGTACGTGTCCATCAGATCACTCCTGCAAACACAGAAAATCGCTTACAAAATTGTACCAAAAAACACACACAAAACACATTGTAGTTTCAGCACTATGACTGCAAATTCAAATGCAAACAGAAAGCTAATTTGAATGAAGAAAAGAGCGAAAAAACACAATATCTATCTTGAAAATGTATGTGTTTTGCAATTCCTAGGCTATGGGCTATATAAAGGAGTCAAACCTTAAAAAGTTGCTAAGCAGAAAAAAACTAAAGGATAATTTTACTACGCAAACAATTAATACTTTGTGTTTTCTTTACTCCTTATTCATTTAAAAACTAAATTACAAAAACCATTTCAAGCAGAAATGTAAACCAAAACATACACCCGTAATGTATTAAGTGATAAAACCAACCATAACCGTGATTTATGAGATGTAATTTATAGAGTGTGCCTTAACATTAAAGTATGTATTGCCAGGTCCACGAGAGGCATCTCACCACTGATCTCTCCAAGATGTGTGCGTTTAATTATGCATGCCACGTGGTTGCATGAATCTCAGCCATGCTCCTGCGAGATGTATATAACGACACCGCTTGTAAGGGAGCACATAGCGCAGACTCACATTAAGTAATGCAGGCAAAGTAGATATGTTCCACAGGAAAGAAATCGAGTAGCAAAATCTAGGTGTAGTATTTGATATTCACATAGGAAAGAAGGTGACTCATAACTATATGCTCACCTTTTTCAGAGCCCATTCCCTGGCTTTAAGTTAAAGAGTATTGTATTAACTACGGGGTGATACAGCCCTATTGGATTCAGGAACCTTGTGAAGAAATGAGGATTCTGGATAAATGTAGCCTTAAAAGTATACACTATTGAACAATATAAATAAAAATAAAATAAAAAGATATGTGAAATAGGAAATTCTAAAATTTCACATATCTTTTATTGCATTTTATTTTTATTTATATTGTTTACAAAATAGTGTATACTTTTAAGACTACATTGATCCAGAATCCCCGTTTCTTCGCAAGGTTCCTGAATCCAAGAGGGCTGTATCACCCCATAGTTGATGTAATACTCTCCCAACTCAGAGCCAGGGAACAGGCTCTGACAAAGGTGAGCATATAGTTATTTGAGTCACCTTCTTTCCTATGTGAATATCAAATACTACACCTAGATTTTGCTACTCAAATTCTTTCCGGTGGACAGTACTACTATCTGAGAATCCTGTGCGACTTACCGGAGAGTGCATTAGGTCTGGCTGCCACCTTGGAAGTGTACCTGTGTGTGTGTTTAGAGCCTATACCTAAAAAGGCTCTGCAAAATGTGAGTTTGGCTCTAATACAAAGTATACCAATTATAATATCCACAGAGTTATCCTATTGGTTTCTCTCTTCTTTCTTTTCATGTATAATGTTATTCCCCTATATCCAATGAGGGGTAAGCTTTAACTATACGGTATAGCATTACACTATCACATGGTTGTTTTAGGTGGTGGGTTTCTCACCTAAACACTGAGTTTTGCAGTGTGTTTCATACTATATTTGTTGGGTTTGTGGAGTGCGCAGTTCAGTGTCTAACAGCTGTTATAACTGTATAAGCGCCTACAAATCACTTATGTTGTTGTGATTTTAGACAAAGTAAATGTAGCATGAATGTGGACATAATAAAATGTTAGTATTGTGGCATATGGACAATGTGGGCATAATAAAATAAAGCAAACAGAAATATATAGAGGTAATGTGGCATGATGTGGGCATAATAAAAACCAGAGGTAAACAAACAAAATGTAGGCAATGTGGGCATAATATAGTTTGCTATCATATTTGTATTACATTAAAACATGGCAACACAGTTTTACTACACATGAGAGAGACAGTTATGCAGTTCTGCGCAGACATACTTCTGTAAAAGAAAAAAAATAATCTCACCACTTTAAAGCAGAGTGGTTTAGATTGCAAAAGAGATTGCACTATGCATTTAATTTAAGAGCAACTTTGGTACATAACAGAATCCATTGAACACTACCACTAATAAAGAAAATACAAAGTATCCATGTTCCTTTTCCCAAAAAAATAACTGTAAGCCTGTATCATTTTGGAAACAGTAGATGGCAGGATCAGTCTATTATTTTCCATTTCCAACAGACTGCACACAACATCAGTGAGGTACAATTTTACCTCCCATTTTCATATAATGGATGAGGTTCAGGAACCGGCTATCTGCATACAAATAATCAAAACTAGGAAATTAAATTCCCCAATTTTAATCGTTTCCCTTTCTTTTTGAGAAGCAAATACGTCTGCTGCGAACGGAGTTATATTTTACGGCTATTGTACATTTGAACATTTTGACTTTGAACCCATCAAGGTCAGCCATTAATGGCCTACTGGAGCTGGGTAGATATGAACAAACCACAGCCATGAAAAATGGCTGGACTTAGTCTCCCAACGATACAACCCCACAAATAGTGTCTTCTACTGCTTTTCTGCATTTTAAAATGACCTTTCTCACAAATCTTACACATAACAAAAAGCAATAGACATAGGGGAACATATAAGAGTACACCATGAAAACAAGCTCCAATCAGCAGATGCTTACCTGAGAAGAGGCTGCAGAGGTTCTGAGAGGGACAGGTCACTGCTGGAAGAGGCACTAGGAGGTCTCTCCTGACACTTGTTCTCCTTGTCAGACTCCCCCGAGGGCTGATACAAAGGTTTGACCTTGAAACAGACCAATAGGATCATGTTTTTGTTACATGTATTTTTCTGCATTCAATATGAAGACACTTAATATTGAAATAAATACTCCTGACATTTTTTGTGTGCAGATTCCCATTTTGTTTATTCCACCTCACTGCCACTCTCCTCATTCCCAAGATAATGCCAGGGCTCTAAAGCACACAGTAATTTTTATAATCCCAAGAAAGAACATGTTTTACAATATGGCTTTCAAGCTGTATTTTATGTATACGGTGGGTGGGAACTAAAGAGCCAGTGACATTTAGAACAACTGATACTAATCTTGGAATGAGTAGAGTTCAGCAATAGGGAGGGAGGCTTCTACATGCGCTTGATAGAGATTATAAGACCTGTGATCTAGGGCTTTTGTGAGTAGCAGCTTTTCATCTGCATATACTCATCACCGATATTATATTTACATAAGAGGCTGTAATTCTCTAGTTTTCCCCCCTTTTGAATGCCTTTTTAGCGCTTAGGTCATTTCCCCTCTTTTTTGCACATTCACATATTAACCCCTCTGCTGATGGAGGTGTAACAACACCTTTTGCAGCTTCATTGGGAGTTATAAGCCAGCCTGAAATAAGGGGTACATTATTTTTATTTGTGTAAATTTGGCATCTGATGTCAACATGCACAGAAAAACTTGGCCTTGGCAATGAAAAAGAGATAAGTTTAAAAAGTTTTTCTTTATTATGAATTGGGGGCGGGGGGGCGCCAGAAAAAAAGTGTTACTCTAACTAAAATAGTGTTTTATGAAAACACTGGTGTTTGGATAACACTGGTGCTAATGGATTGTTTTTTGCACATTTTAATATAATGATGTAATGCATTAAAATAAAATGTCTCAATACAAACTTGCAATGTCCCTTTGTACACAAGGTTATGCTCTAATGAAAGAACATAAAGCAGCAAATGAAAGCAGGCAGAAAGAAGCTTATACATCATTGTAAGGCATATATTTAATTAAGTTGACTATGGTTTTACATTTAATGGTGCCTACCTGCTTTTCTTGCTCACTCAAGTCAGGCCAAGCTTGTCCTAGCAGCAACGTGGACCGTAAATCTTGTGGCCGCGGGGCACTGGGATCCAGAGACTGACTGGGGATAGGCTGTATCGATTCATGCGGCTCAAAAGCTACAGATCGGGCCTTGCTGAACGCTTCTTTCTGTTTCTGATAGAGTTCCTGTAACCGTTTGTTTTTCTGTTCCTCTGCTTGGCGCTGGGCCTCCCTCTGCTCTTTTTGTTTCTTTTTCCTCTCTTCCTGCTGGCGCAGGATGTATTGGCGTACTTGTTCTGTGTCATAGTGCCTTTTCTTGGAGGAGATAGGGGGCTCTTCTTTGAGATGTGCTTTATCAGGTTTCCGTTTGGTTGGACTGTGACTTCTGCTTCGTGTCTGTTTTGCCACATCAACTGTGCTATCCAGCTGTAAATCATTCAATATTCCCCTGATCTCCAGAGGCAGAAAATCTGTCTTAACATCCGTAGGTTCAGTCTGGTGCTTATTTTCACCAAGAAGTACATGTGACTTTGTATTGCCAGATGGATCTCTAGCGGAGTTATCTATGTTATCATGCAGTTGTGATGTGGCTGTAAATATATTAACACAGGAACAAACAAGTCAAAACATATTTCTAACAGGGTACTAAGCAACTTTGGAGAAATCACGCAATAGCCAAGGAAACAACCTCATACATTAATCATTCAATACAAATAAAATCTCTTACTGCATTTTCCTAAAAAAAAAAAAAAATCAATCTTTTCTAAAGGATTCTGGTGTAAAGAACAAGAAGTAAAACATATCAAAAACAGAAAACGTGACCTTCACACAATGCTTTAGATTTCCCTTAAAGGACCACTATAGTGCCAGGAAAACATACTTGTTTTCCTGGCTCTATAGGGTCCTTGGGTCCCCCTCTCCCTTAGGGTCCCCCTCTCGCCAGGCTCTAGGGTGAGGAAGGGGTTTAGTCCCTTACCTTTTTTCTAGGCACTCTCCTCCTCCTTTCCCGTCATCGGCTGAATGCGCGGCATGAACCGCGCGCATTCAGCCAGTCTCATAGGAAAGCATTCTCCAGTGGCGTCTTCTCACTGTGAAAATCACAGTGAGAAGCGCGGAAGCGCCTCTAGCAGCTGTCAATGACACAGCCACTAGAGGCTGGATTAACCCATTTGTAAACATAGCAGTTTCTCTGAAACTGCTATGTTTACAGCAGAAAGGGTTAATCCTAGAGGGACCAGGCACCCAGACCAACATGTTCCGTACAGTGTTAAAAAACATACTAATATGCCACACAATTGTGAGTAACATCAATAAAATTCTATTTGCATGCCAATAATTTATCTCTGGTTGTCCACCCTTTGTCTTCTAGCACATTTTTAAAGAATTGTCGGCCATAGAAATTCAAGACTTCTAGTCAGAATAGACCTTGACATTAAATGCTGACTAACCCTGCCCTACATAACAAACACATGGGATTGCTTGCCCCGTCAGAGTAGAAGCAGCATGAAAACACAGATGTTAAAGGCACAGGAACAGGTTATAGATCTTTACTATAGTTTGCTTCTCAATATCATTGGGGTTTTTTGGCTTTTTTTTTTTTTTAGCAAATAAGAAATTAAGGCACTCTGTGTGAAAGGTGGAAACTGGCTGTAGAGTAAGCCTCTTTATTGAGCTGATTTTTTAAATACTTGAATAAAGAAACATCTTGCTGTGAACAGAGAAAAAGATGGAATTCTGCGCATCAAGTATGTTTGCGCACACCCAGGTGCTACTGCAGTTTGAGGACACAATAGAAACAGACGTTTCGGGCACAAGCCCTTTTCCAATGCTTATGATTGTCTTCAAATAAACTGCAGTAGCACCTGGGTGTGCACAAACATACTTTATGCGCAGAACTCCATCTTTTTCTCTGTTTGCTGGCTACACTGTTGGAACTACACTAAGGAGCTTCTGAAGCTCAGGCTTTACTTTTTTTTTTACATTTCATATTTAAGACAGTGCAGGCATTTTGCATGCCTCTACCTCATCCTATGCATAATTATCTTGGTGTGAATTGGTGGTTTGGGAAACCAACTCTGGAAGCACACCATGGACTTCCATGATTGAAATTGTTCTGGGCTGTAGTACCTATTTCAACTTATTTACAACTGGGAGTTCATTCTAAGGCAAGTTGAGCATTATGGATTCACTTCTGTATTAATTAATATTTTTTTTACCAAGTTAAAAAAAAATAAAAAAAATTTGTTTTTCATAGCCTGAACAACTTACGTAGGTGCATTTTTACTTATTATGTAAACTATACAAAAACAATTACCAAAGCACTAAAATTAACAAAACCAGACATTAGAAAAAAAAATATATATATATATATAAAATAACCTGATTTACTTGATCTGTCCCGGTCGTCGTCTTGTGTTTCTTTTGAAATGCTTCTTTTAACAGTCTGTCTGTCACTGGATTTAGGCTGCTTTTCCTTTTGTCTCTCTGTGGACACGGTCCTTTTACTTGCATCTCTCTCAGCAGATTTTGGTTTCCTATCCAACTGCCCATCAACAGACAAAGTCAACTTACTATCATGCCTGTCCATGGACATATTTTTTGAAGATTTCTCAACCTTGGGTGCAGGGCCAAGGATCTGTTTCACCAACTTCTGCCCATCTCTCCAAGAAGATGTGCTGATTATATGTCCTGTGGGTTGTAGTAATAAAAAAAAAAAAAAAAAATTATGTGTGGTTTATTCAGTTTTTTCCACTCATATTTTTCTTTTTGGCAGTGCTTTCTCTGTGGTTTATTTACTAAAATGAATTGTGATGAGTTGGAAAAGAAAATTTTTGATCAAATTAGCAGAGCTGTAAAAAAGTTTTACAACTCTTTTTTTTTATTTTTTTATTTTTTTTATTTTTTTTATTGATTTCCCAAGCACAAACTGTACAATAAAAATACACAGAAAAAAATAATCTATGAACTCATACTCCCATCACTCCATGGCAGCAGAAATCGCTATAGCTTTCGTTAGTCAAAATACATAAAACAAAAAAGTTACTTGCACATTAATCTAAATCCCTATGCAGTGAAACAACAGCACTGTTTAGTACCACTAAAATCGCCATTAAGAGAGGCAAACAATACAACAGTGATGTGATTTAAAACCAAAAAAAAAAAAAAAATCAGTTAAGGATATCCATCTCAGACGTCTTACCCTGGTGCCAAATGTAAGCAGGAGTGCTTTACAAAAATACATAGATCCCAAAAGAGACAGTTCTAGTTTAAAAAGAAAGAAGAAAGTATATATCCCAAGGTACTGACTGTCTGATCTTTAACAATTAGTTCACTCAGAGAGTTTGATATCACACAGGTACCCAACGTTTGTAATATTTAGTCACCTGACTTATTCTCTGGACTGCCAGTTCCCACACCTCCAGGCAATCGTTGTACTTTTCTCACCGGTCTAGATGGTCTCTTGCTTCGTGATTTATCATCATTAGTAGATAGGTCTTAACATAAACAACAGCAAAAAAAGAAAATGAGAAACAGCCAACATTAGGATCGCTTCTGGTATATACTTCATATATCTGTTTTTTTCCCATTTAAAGGAACATTTCAGAGACATAAAACATGCTTTAAATGTTTGGAGTCTGTCATATCTGTGACAGTTTATGAAAGTGTAAATTCAGAAAGCCAAGGAAAGTTTCTTCCGCTCCAGGCACGCTAAGTTAGAGCATGTCTGCCTTCTCAACCTCTCAATGAGCTATACAACAGATCACGGACAAGCACAGGAAAGGTACCATCACGTATGCGCTCACTCCTGGCTCCACCACTGAGGCTTCTCAAAGCGAAGCCTCTAATTGGTGTGTTCCCCAGCACAGACTTAAAGTCTGTGTCAGGGAAAGAAGGGAGGACGCAGGTCTGCAGCTTTAGCAAACCGTTTTTTAATACACCCCCAAAGAAAACATGTGGAAACAAACATCCATATTTTCTTTGGGGGTTATCGATATTGAAAAGTTAAAAAAAAAATATCAACTGTTTTTTCTTTTCTTTCTTAATTGGAAAGTAGATATTTATTTCTCACAGTGCCAAGTTTGCCTAGAATGACCTCTGTAAAATGCCCAAGATATAACCTGTAGCGCCACCTTGTGTACTGTTACAGAATTCTTATTTGTTTGAAAGTCTGTAGGATTTCCACCTACAATATTTCCACTGGGAACAAATAGGACGGTAGCACACAAACCAGCGATGCCTCAAAATGTTTAGTGCAGCATCTGACAACTTTTAGCATGCAGATCAAACTAGCAGGTTTGTTCACTAAATTGTGAATTGTTGGGAATTCAAAGCGAATTCCAAAAATCAGGACAAGAGCCAATTGGAAAAATTCTGCAAGTCAATTCATTTTCAGTTTTTGAACCTCAGTGTAAATAGATTCTTTGTTCACTACTGCACATACAAAAACATTAAAATATTCACCTTGTGAAGTGGGCATCAGAGAGGCACGCAGATGGGGGCTGAGATTTTTAAACTCCTCTTCTTGCAAGAGCTTGCCATCTGGAGTACGGACCTTCATTTCAGCGGGGTTAAATCCTAAATAAAGGGTTACAGTTAGATGCAGTTAAGTTTAAAGTTATGGTTATTCACATTATTCTATAGACAAAACAAACCTATGCAAACACCCAAGTCAAATATCATAGAATTTGCAGTATTACGGATTAAAAATAAATAAAATTAATAATAATCAGAATGCTTATGTTTTCCTAAAAGTCTGCCACATGTAAAATATGCTTTGAAACAAGAAACAAAAATAATCGATATATTGAAACAAAAATAATCTACATATTTTGCAAGTGGTAGAAGTAGGAAACAACACGGTTTATTAACTACTCCATAAACGCTAGTGAACTGAAAACAGAATCACAAATATTAGGGAGTCTCTACACTGTAGAAAAAAGTAATCCAAATTTATTTATTTTTTTTTTATTATTTTTATTGCAGTTGTGGGGAGCTTGGAACTATGGACTAGGGGCATTATAGCATTAGGAATACAGGTTTTTATTCCAAACACTATAGTGTTCCTGTATCAAGACTACTTTGCAGAAATTTTGCAATACATTTTCAATTCCATATGAAACAGTATTTAGAAATCAAAAGATTTTTTTAAGATATTACGATTATACACAAGGGTCAGTTTATGCAAACACAAGTTGATGTGCTTCTAATCTAAGGGGTTTACAAAACAGCATGACCACCACATATCTCCTGATCTATACTAGTAATTTGGCCATATGTATTAAATTTGCTGCTTTTAAAGCGGTATTTTCAGGTAGACAAGTATGGTACACTTTACAAAGAATTCTAAAATACGTTCTCAGAGAGCACTTTATATAAATGATAGCTCTGTAAAGTCTACTCCTACTGTAATTCTCAAGCAGTATTGCTTAATGCTTGATCATGTTTCACATTTTTTTTTGTTCTTTTTGGTCACCAACATGGATCTGATTAAAGTTACGTTAATGTAAGGCTGGCCTGTGGTATTATTACTTGAGGGGGAAAATACTAATTGCCTCAAGCAACACTGCTCAGGATGTGGCAAGCAAGCCCCTGCTTATATCAATACAATACAAGCTGACAGCCAATATTCACAATTCATTAAAAGAAATAACAAAATGAATAACAAGATAATGGCATGTTTCACCTGGGTAAACAGGGGGAGGGGGAGCAGATGTCACTTTGCGGGTCTTTACACTGCTAATAGTCTCTGTAAAATTAGTTGCGCTAGGTATTCGGTCCCCGGCATGCCTTTCTCCAGACAGCTCCCATTGTCGGCGAATTCTCTCCTTTAGCTTATCTAATTTGGGATCAGGTTGCCGCCTCTTTAATGCTTCTAGCCTGTTACTTGATGGGCTGAATGAAAGGGATTGCTGAGCTGCATCAAGTGGCCCTGTCCTTGCATAATCTGTTTGAAAGGTAAACTCAGAAGCACCACTGTGAGGTGTTGGTACTCTCCATTCCAAAGCATCAATGGCTGGTTGGTCATTTAAATATCGTACTGCAGTGTCATCCACAGCCGAGGAACGAGTGCTATCAAAATCTCTTTGCTCTGATCCTCCAGCATTTAGACCAGACGATAACCGCACAGTTGACCTCTCTTTTGCAGTGGATAAAGCACTTGCAGAGTCCCTGAAAAGCAAGGAACATAATACCTAAAATGTTTTGACGACAAAACCTGGATTACTACGACAGTTGCAAATATTATTTGAGGGAGGGGAGGGGAGAGAGAGACTTTTTTGTAGATATAATTTGACAACTGAGAGAAGATAAATATGGAACAGAGGAGAAGAAAGACAGTAAGGTAGAGTTTGTTGGACTTCTTCCCAGGGATTCCAGAGCTGGCAGAAAAAAAACAAACAAAAAAAACAAGCTGAAATGATATTTCCCTCTTACCGGTAAGATTCCAGGGGCTCTCGAAACACCACATGACTGGTTTTCTTCACGTTACTTTCCAGAGTGGTAGCACGCAGGGGACTCCGGGATAATTTCTCTCTACCAGCTTTACTTGGGTTTGAGGATTTGCTAATATAATTATTGCTGGATTCTGAGTATCTCCCATCTATAGATAAAAGAAATGCAAGGCATTAGAAACGCCTATATTTTTCACCCGTTGTGTCATGAAAACATTTTGCATTAATGGACAAGGCAGCCACATAAAGTGCTGTTAAACCCCCCCCCAAAAAACAGTATACCCAAATCATTATACCAATACAGGGTGTCAACATTTGTTAGAAATGTTCTACATGCTTTTTTTATTATTATGACTCTACATAAAATGTAATATTTTAATTACCAGCATTTTAAGCATTACAAGTCAATTAATCCAGAAAACATAGCATGTGCTTTTAGTAACTGTGGCCTCTATATGATGAAATATGTAATTTCATCCCAATGAAGTGGTTTGGGTGCCATGCCCCTGTCTTTTTAGCCCTGCAACTAAATACATTGCGTTAACACACCACTAGTGTTGTTTCCGCAGCTATAAACGTGTTAAACTGTTATAGCTCAAATGACTCTTCTAGAGAGCATTTGATTGGTGCAGCATGGCAATTTGACATGCATGCGCACTAGAAAATAATGCAACGGAGCACCAGGCCTGTGGTTGATACTACAATAGCAGTTCTCTTGTTGACATTTATGCAGAAAATGCTATTCATTTACCAGAGATATATTTATCTCGTAACTGCTGCGAAATGCTTAAGGCCAGAATATAAAGATTGACCACGTTCAGTATGACCAAAATTGAAACTGGAGATTACCTAATTTTGTTTTCAAGAAACTGCCCAATTTCGCAGAAAATCAATATTTACCCTTTCGGCTAACTTTGCGCATTGCACTGCTTGGTGGCTTCTTAGTCTCCATGAAGGGGTCACACACAGCACCTCTTGTGGGGCCCACATCCAGCTTCTCTTCCAGACGTCTCAACTGTTGCAAAATAGTAATAATAATCTGAATTAATTATTTTCCTCAAATGATACTTTTGCCACCAAAACATGTTAATTCTTAAAAATTACAAAATAAAATATGAGCAAGAAAGTGTGCAAAGACTGATGAGAAACACTAAATATAGTGAAATGTGGATAAATAATTTACCAAGGACATACTAAAAGTACAAAATGATTGGCACTTGTGTAGGGAAGGTTAGTAAAGTTATGCAGTAAGGCATGTACCACCCAGAGACTGAAAGGTTTTTATCAAATGTCAAAAAGGGAACATGATTTCCCAAGCTAGAAAAAAAAATCTAAAGCCTAAACTTTTTTTATGTCTTTGAATACTTACAGCAGCATTCGTGTTAGAGATGGTTTTCCATGCTTTGCTGAGCTCTGCAATAAAATACACCAAGGTTTAGCATTTACATGGCATCCGATGCCTATAGCATTTAAATATCTGATAAATACTGTGTGTTTGTGGCAGCACGTCAAAGATTTACTCCCTAAACTGGGAATTTTGACACGAGCATTGCATGTTGTAAGAAAAACTGCAATCTTGTAACCATTCTTCAACTCTGTTATATAGGTTTATTATTGCTATACAAAGCTTAGTCAAAAAAGTCAAAATCTCTGGATAGTCCTTTTCTTTTGTTTTGCACATGGTCATATAATGAATTCAGTAGGACAAACTCTTGACATGGTCAGCGAACAAGTATTTAGACCCTACTTGAACTTAGACCTGCTGATAGGCGTTATCTGACTCAGTTACTTCGCTAATAGACAGGAAGTTAATGCTCAGTAAAGACATTAGTACATTATCACAATATTGTGAGTGCTAGAGGGAGAGGATATGCCTTTTGAACCTGTATCCATGGACCAGACAATGAGCTCTTTATAGCATGCAGTAAGTCACAGGATATTAACTGTCACACATCAGGTAGAATTTAAGAGTTTTCATTGACAACTCTTACCTACCTTGAATAGTTTCTTTACCCTGTGTTGGAAGCTGGCAAATTGTCTGTATCATCCATGCACTCTTCTCAGCCATTCATCTGCAACCAACAGAAAGCAAATTATAAGCACAAATCTAGATGTCCAGTTTCTCCATACTACTCAGTGCGAGCAGCCTCTGCCCCCTCCTCCCCTCCTTGGATAAGCCTTAACTCAAGCTGAACTGTCACTAGATACAGGGAGCTGGAGACTCTCCCCAACAGCTGCAGTAGTGAGGTATCAAATGATGGCTGTAAATGCTGAGGTTTGATGAGGGCGGCCAGCCAACAATTCACAGAGCAGTAAGATGCATTCAGGGTTACAGAAATATATACTAGCCATTAAACTCCACAGTGCAGCATTCAGCAAAGCAACAATTATTAGGAAAGAGAAACTATTAGTAACACAATGATGACAATGCCAGTGAAGCAGAACTGCAATCTACTCAATTGGCTGTGAGTAGTACACAATTTTCAGGTAAACAACCCATCATACTGTAAACTTGCCAGCCAAGAGCACACAGGAAAAAAAAGTTAAGAAACACGGACTTCCACCAATAAAGAAAATAGAATATAAAAAAAATAAAATAATAAAAATAAAAAATAAAAATATATATATATATATACACACACACACACACACACACACACACACACACACATACATACATAAATACGCTTATTGAATAATGATAAAATTATGATGATTAAAGAAATGTTTTACAGCACTTATTCCAGTGAAAGTTAGGGACACTATAGTCATCAGGACAACTAGAGCTTAATGTAGTTCTTCTGGTGTGTGTAGCACAGTGTGCAGCACCGGCATTTAGCATATGCACGCTATGCATGGAGGTACTGATCGTTCCTCAAAGAGATGCACTGATTCATTGAGAAGCTGCTGGTTGGTGCAGCACGGCTTTCTCCCAATGCTTTCCTTTAGGGAAGCATTGGATTGCCTAAAATCAAGATTTAGGATTTCAGCCATGGCGGTTAATGCATGGTGAGACCCACGCGGAGCGGGAGAAAAGGATAGTATAAAAATCTTTTCACCCCACACGGAAGGGAGCCGGGTACCTAAACAACCACACCAATACTATAGTGTTGCTGTAAACAAACACTTCAACTCACTGTAGTCATTATGGAGCAGGATAATCGGGCACAGTTTTACTAGTTAAACCATTTTTGCAACGGCTTAACCCTGAAGTTGGTCCTCTGACACTGTTTCCCCCCGACCTTACTCTCTGCTTAGCAGTATGAGGAAAAAATAAAGTAAAACTGTCAGCTCAAAGCAATTTTTTAATGTAATAATCATTTAATTCATTTAATGTAAGAAAATAGATTTTTGTTTAAAAACCACAAAAAAAATAAAAATGGTTAGGGTTAATTTGTATTTAAAATACAAGAAATAAACTGAATAAAACACTTTGCCTCCTCACTTTGGTCATAACCCTAATGTAATAAAAATAAAACAAAAGAGAAGAGGGAATGGTAAGTTATATTCAGTGTGTCCCAAATAAAAACACATAAGAGGGTGTGATCACTAAGATATGGTTACTGGTAGTCGTACTGGTAAACGTTTCCAAAAGTGAGCCACCTATAGCTCCAACAACCATGTAAGGGCAATCTCTACTGTAAATGTTTAAATTTGGCAGGACTTAAAGTCATCATATGTCCACTTCACAAGAGAGTTACTGAAGAGAATTCACTCATGAAGTGGATATATGAGGACTTTATTAAGCCCTGATGAATCATAAATACATTTGACTATCAGTATTCCCATCTACGTGATCACACCTTATTTTGTGTTTTTAACAAAACAATATTACAAAATCATGGATAGATAATAGTGTGAATGTTTTAAACCCAGAGGGCATTTCTACTACATAATAATTATATCTGTGGTTTTTCAAATACAATAATTTATTCTGATTTAATGACATACCGTACATTGTAATATCAATAAAAAATAAAAATAAAGTCAGATAAATTACCACAACTATGACTATAGGGCAGGCCTTGACAAATTTGCTAGGAATCTAGGAGCCAGCTAAGAGAAAAAAAAAAGAAAAAAAAAAAGTTAGGAGCTACATTTTTCAACTTAAAAAAAAATACAATTCTTACAGTGACACTATAGTCACCAGAACCACTACAGCTTAATTTAGTTGTTCTGGTGTCTATAGCATGTCCCTGCACGTTTTTCAATGAGAAAAAGCAGTGTTTATATTGTTGTCTAGTAACACTTCCAGTGACAGTCACTCAGATGGCCTCTAGAGGTGTGTCCTGGGTCAGTGCTGCACAGTGTACAGCACCTACATTCAGCATCTCCACACTCTGCATAGAAGCGCTGAACATTCCCCATAGAGATGCACTGTTTAAATGAATCCCTATCAGGAGATGCTGATGGGCGCAGTGTGGCATTTTGACACATATGAGCAATAGCCGATTAATGCGTTCCTATGGGAAAGCATTGAATTGGCTGAGATCATCAAAACGGATCTCAGTCGTGGAGGCGGGGCCAGCAGCGGAGAGACTGGAGCTGCGGGGGATAGAAATGTGAGTAAAAACACCTTTCCTATGTGAATCGAGGGGCATTTAGGAGGGCGGTCACCTAAAACACACACACTCACTAATTTGACACTCATTGACAAACAAACAGTGACAGACACACTGACACAGCAATAATCGCACACATTTTCTAACATACATACACAGACAATTTTTTTTATTTTAATGTGTATACCCAGCCTCCCTACCTTTAGGAGAGATGGAGAGGATCGGCTTTCACTGGGGTCCAGTGGTGCCGCTTTCATCTCCCTGCACTACTCCCTAAAGCACTGTTAAGTGATGCCGGGACCGGATTGACATCATATTCGGGCTCCCGGAATCACTGCGCATGCGAGAGAGCACAGTAGGGAGATTACATCTTCCTCAACGCCTGCCTCAGCCCTTCACAAGCAGCCAGCATGACGACCTGGCAAATTTATCCAGTCCGGCGATAGGATATATGACATATTGGACAGTAGCTTTTTTTCTTGCTTTACATAAGAGAACGCTTTAAAACTAAAAAAAGAAAATGAAAAAGTAAAGACTGCTCAAACATCCCGCTCCACTAATTCTATAGCAATGCGTATTTTGTGTGGTCCCTACCAAGCCACAAAAGTATATCTGTGGGTTATTTTGGTAAGTAAAATTTCTATTGAAAACAATGTTCAACTATTTAGCAATACATTGTAGTATAGTAAACCAGGTACAACATTTTCACATACCCAGTAGCCACTGGCAAGTAAACCTTCAGCCCAAGCGAGTGGCAGTTACCCCTCCTGAGTGCACCAGGAACTCCCCAGGCTTGCAGTGACAAGTAACTCTGAGTTCAATCTACTAGGGTATGACATACAATTTCAAACCATACATTGGACAATAATGCAACATTGTAAAAGGAAAGGGACACTCCAGTCCCCTAAAGTACTACAGCTTGTCTGCATAACACATCTCCCTTATTTTATAAAAGTGCCAGCTTCACACTTGTTCAAATCAGAAGTGCTTTTCTATGCGACGCATTGCTGGTGCATGGATGCCTGAAAGCTTCTCTTTGAGTCACACAAGTCATTAGTAATGTCAACTGCGCACAAGGTGGATCAGAGTTGCAGTGAGGAGAGCTGACACAGTACTAAAGAGAGTTTAATAGATCAAAATGTCAAATGTTTTGATTTCCCATGGAACCCATGTGTCAAAATGGGATGGACTGCAATCTAAACAGTTTAAAGGGACACTATATGAACTCAGACCACTTCAGCTCATTGAAGTGGTCTGGGTGCACTGTCCCTGTGCCACTTAGTCCTGCACTGTATTACACTGTTTACATTGCAGAACTAAGACAACCTTTAGTATCCATCTACCAGATAGCCACTAGAGGTGCTTTCAAGAGTTTACCAGACCCCTAGGTCGCCTAATTGATGCTGGACGTCCTCACGCTCTGCATAAGGACATCCAGCATCAGTGAAATCCCCATAGGAAAGCATTGAGTCATGCCGCACATGCGCATTAGGCCTTCTCGTCCGATGATGTTGGAGGAGGTGGAGCACCGATGGACACTGGCGCTCGAATCAGATGAGTGAATGAAGGATTTTTAACCATTTATGTTCCAAGGGGACAAATGGCACTACAGAGTTAGAAATAAAGATTTCACTCCAGTGAAAGGAAAAAAACAAGTAAAAATATATATCGTATATACTCGTGTATAAGCCGACTTTTTCAGCACATTTTTTATGCTGAAAATGCTCCCCCCTCCCCTTGGCTTATACTCGAGTGAGGGCCCCACTTACCTGTTCTCCGATGCAATGCAGGTGTTCTCCGGTCTCTGCACCATAAGGGATCAAACAAAAATAAACCCTGCATGAAATCCTATGGCTTTCAGAATTTCATAATTAGTAGTTGCATCTCGAGATATAATAGTCTGTATTGTAGAGACAATGTTGAGTATAGTAGGTAGTGGGGAGCTCGAAACAAACACCAGAGCTGAGCCCCGACACGCATTTCGCAGGTCAAACAGCTCTTCAAGCCTGTTTATATCTAATTTCCTCTGTCGTACACTTCACTCTCCTTCCTCGACTTCTCTACTCTTCTCCTCCTTCTATAATGGGACTCTCAATATACACCATCTACTTTCTTAAATACTTCACAGTGAAATACGCTTACCAGAGTGAAAAATGAAAAGAAAATCCCTCATAAGACGGGTCTCAAATTACAATCACAGAGACATATGAATTCATGGCCCTAATGCTGGTCGAATAACGTATTTTCCTTGTTGGCCTAACAAGACCTAAAATGCTAGTGGACTTGATATTACCAACACACAGACAAGAACAATTGTACGACTCTGAAGAATAAACCTAACTCTCAATAGCTACAACCAAATCTATAGCAAATATGCTGTATTAGTTGTGCCCACAAATGTTAACCTAATGATGCCTCAATTAATGTAATTTTATTGGTATCTATTTTTATTTATTAAATTTACCAGTAGCTGCTGCATTTCCCACCCTAAGCTTATACTCGAGTC